TGTTAAGAATTGTAAATTAAATATACATGTTATTTTATGTATGTAACCAGTAGGTGGTTTATATAGAAAAAGATTAAGAACATTTCCAACTATCATAAATTGTACAACTATAGATTGGTTTTCAACTTGGCCTTAAGATGCCTTAGAATCAACTGCAGAATAATTTTTACCTAAATAACTTGTTAAAATGGCTGTAGAAGTACACTATAAGATTCTTTAAATTACTGAAAGATTTAAATAAGAATTAAGAAGATATTTCTATGTGACACCAACTTAATATTTATAAATGCTTTAAACTTTTTAAATTATTCAGGAATAAAAAATGGGATAATCTTAAGTATTTATTGAGAAATTTGAAAATGGAGTTGAATAAATAAAAAAAGCTGAAAATGATGTTGATAGAATCAAAGCTAAATTATTTGAATTATAACCCAAATTATAAAAAGCAAATGAAGAAAATAATTAATTACTCATTAAGATTTAAAAAAGATAAGAAGAAGCAGATAGGAAAAAATAAGCATGTGAATTTGAAGAGAAAATTTGTCTTAAATAAAGTGAAGAAGCAAATGAATTGAGAAATAGTTGTTAATAAGCATTAGATAATGTTCTTCCATTATTGGCTTAAGCTACTGAAGCATTAGAAAGAATTACTAAAGATGATATGATATTATTAAAATCATTCACAAATCCTCCAATATCTGCTGCTATTGTTATGGAAGGTTTAGCTTATGCATTTGAAGAAGATCATCTAGTAAAAAGTAAAAATAAAGAACCTCCTGTATTATAAGATTATTGGGATTATGCTAAGAAATGTTTATTGAATGATAAATTAATTAAGAGAATTAAAAGTTTAAAATTAGAATAGATTAGATAAATATCTTTTAAGAATATATAAAAGTTATAAGTTTTTGCTAAAAATCCTTTATTTGAAAAAGATAGAGTATTCAATGCTTCAAAAGCAGCAGGAAATTTGGCACTTTGGATAAGAGCAGTTTTGGAATCTTATATGGCAGTTGAAATTATTGAACCAAAGAAAGCAGAGTTAAAATAAGCAGAAGAAAAGTTATCATAAGCTGAAGAACTTGTTTAAGAAAAGAAAAATGCTTTAGAAGTTGTATTAGAAGAGTTACATAATTATTAATTAGAATATAATAGAGCAAAGGCAGAAAAAGAAAGAATAGAAGAGTAAGTTATTACTATAAGTTCTTAATTATAAAGAGCAGAACATTTAATTGCAAATTTAAGTGAAGAAAAATCAAGATGGAAATTAAAAGCATAATAATATAAAGAAAATTAAAAGAATATTATAGGTGATTGCATGCTTAATTCAGCTATTATTGCATATTTAGGAGTATTTCCTATACAATATAGAGAAATTTGTTTAGAATATTGGAAATCTAAATTATAAGAATATAATATCTAAATCTCAAGCAATTATTCATTATAAAATCAATTAAGTGATCCTGTTCAAATAAATAAATGGCTATAATAAAAATTACCAAATGATTAATTTAGTATTGATAATGCTATTATTATGAAATAATCATCAAGATGGCCATTAATGATAGATCCATAATTATAAGCAAATGAATGGATTAAGAATATGGAAAATCAAAAAAGTTTAATAATTTTTAATGCAATGTGGCCAATTAATTAAATATAATTATAATTATAACATGCCATATAAATTGGTTATGCTGTATTATTAGAAAATGCAGGATAAACATTAGATCCATTATATGAATAAATATTACAATTCAATTAATAAAGAGGACAAAGAAATTTATATATCAAATTTGGTGATAAGATGATAGAATATTCTAGTGATTTTAGATTTTATATTACTACTAAATTATCTAATCCTCATTATTAACCTTAAGTTTGTGTAGTAGTGACTATGCTAAATTTTTAGGTTACTTAAGAAGGATTAATTGATTAAATGTTAAATATTGTTGTTAAAATTGATGAACCTTTAAAAGATGAATAAAGGAATAAAAACATTTCATAATATGTAATTAATAAAAATAAATAAATACAAACTGAAAATCTTATTTTAAAATTATTATCTGAAGCTTCTGGAGATCTTTTAGAAAATGAAGTTCTAATCAAAACTTTATAATAATCAAAAGATGATGCATCTGAAATTGAATTAAGATTATAGAAATTGGAACATGATTAATTGCTTTTTAATTAAATTAAGTCATTTTATAATTAAGTAGGTGAATTAGTTTCTAATATATACTTTATTGTAAATGATTTATCTATAATTGAGCCAACATATTTGTGGTCATTAGAATTTTACATTTAATAATATTAGAGATCTATTAAAGAGGCCTAATCTGGTAAATAGAGAAGAGTGTAAAATATCATAGAGAAATTTCTTCATCATATATATACAACTATTAATAGATCATTATTAGATAAAGATAAATTTATATTTAGATTTTTATTTTGTTTAAAAGTACTAAATATACCAATAGAATAAATCAGAACTTGTGTTATAGGTCCTTCTATAACTTAAACTGAATTAAAAATTCCCAAAAATTATGATTGGTTGACACCAAAGATGTGGTTAGGTTTGGTTGATTTAATGGAAAAGTATCCTTAAGATTTTGGTTGGTTATGTAAAGATATAGAAGAAAATCATTAATTTTGGGATGGATACTTTTATAATTAATAATCATATAAAATATAGATACCTTAAATTGTAAATTAATTTAATTATTTGATGTTGATAAAGATTATAAAACCAGAACAATTTATTAATAGTTTCAATGAATTAGTAAGAACTTTAATGGGTAAATAATTCTTAGAGAATATACCATTTACATTTGAATAATTCTATTAAGAATCTACTCCTACAACACCATTATTATGTTTAATTTAACCAGGTAGTGATGCAAGATAAGAAATAATATCGTTGGCAGATAAATTAGGATATTAAGATCATATCTATACAGTATCTTTAGGATAAGGTTAAATATAATTGGCATTAAAATTGATAAAGAATGGTTTGCATTAGGGTAAATGGGTTTTATTATAAAATTGTCATGTTGCTTAATCATTTATGCCAGAATTAGAATAATTATTTGAAAATCAATTTAAAAGTTAGAATATAAATAAGGAATTTAGATTATGGTTAACAAGTCAACCTACAAATTTATTTCCACATAATGTTTTATTAAAAAGTATAAATATATTAAATATATAATAGCTCTGAAATTAACATATGAATTACCAAGAGGTTTAAAAAATAATATGTTAAGATCATATTTTTAATAAGATTAAGAGAAATTTGAATAATGTAAAAAATAAGAAGAATGGAAGAATTTATTCTTTTCTTTAACTTTATTTCATGCATGTATTTTAGAAAGAAGAAAATATGGTCCTTTGGGATGGAATGTTAGTTATAATTTTTCATAACATGATCTTGAAATATCAAAAGAATAAATTCTTTATATTTTAAATCATTAACATGATATTTAATGGGATGCATTATAATATTTAGTTGCTGAATCAAATTATGGTGGTAGAGTAACAGATCCTTAAGATAGAAAATTGTTGAATATATTAGTACATGAATTCTTAAATGAAAATACAGCAAAAGAAGGATATGTATTTAGTGATTATGTTAAAATACCAGAATCAAATAATATTAATGGATATATTAATTATATTCAAACTTTGCCTATTGATGATCCTCCATAATTATTTGGTTTACATTCAAATGCAGAAATATATTCTTCAATTTTATTAGTTGATCAAATTAGTTAAGAAATCTTGTAAGTATTACCAAGAGCTGTTGGAGCATAATAAAATACTGATTTTATTGCAAAATAAAAATGTAAAGAAATAATTGATTTATTGCCTTAACAATTCAATCTTTTAGAATTAGAATAAAACTATCCCATTTTGTCATAAAATTCTTTAAATACTGTATTATAATAAGATGTTGGCAGATATAATAAACTATTGCGTACAATAAATTCATCTTTGTCTAATCTTATTAAATAGATAGATGGATATATTAATATGTCTGATGATTCATAAGACATACTTGGAAATATTATGGATAATAAAGTTCCAAATGAATGGTTAAAACATTCATATTAAACAACTAAACCATTAGCAACATATATTAAAGATTTATTAGATAGATTATCCTTTATTCGAAAATGGATCATATAAGGAGAACCAATATTATATTGGTTAGGAGGTTTATTCTTTATATAAAGTTTTTTAACTGGAATTTTACAAAATTATGCTAGAAAACACAAAATACCAATTGATGAAGTTAAATTTGATTATGAATTCTATTAGAATAAACCAAAATAAAAGCCTGAAGATGGATTTTATGTTGAAGGCATTTATATTGATGGTGCTAAATTTGATTTTAAAACAAATTCTATAGAAGAACCTGAAAATCTAATACTTTACTATGACTCTCCTGTTATACATTTTAAACCTACTTTAGAATAATAGATTTTATAGCATTATGCATGTCCATTATATAATACTGTTTAAAGAAGAGGAAACGTTACTAGCACTGGAGGATCAGCCAATTTCATTTGTAATATTAAAGTACCAATCAGACAATCTGATAGCCATTGGACAAAAAGAGGAGTAGCCATGATTTTATAATTAAATTGATTTATTATTTTTTATTTCTATTATTATGTATCTTAATAATAAATTAGATTGAATTAATTTTATTTAATTTAAACTTATAGAAAATAAATATTTTTGTAATTTAAGATTATGAAATTATATTGTTAATTTTATCAATTATAAGAAAATAACAATTATTTATTAATGAGTCATTTGATCACTTATTATTGTATCATTTGATTTATTTTTAAGTCATGTATTTTTTTAATTAATGAAAATGGGATTTGATTAGATTTCATAAGGAATGAGTTTTGGGAGTTGTTTGAAATATAATATGTTAAAAATATAATATAAATATTTGTTTAAATATTTTCACAAAGAAATATAATAAATATGAATAGACAGTTTACTAAAGAGAAGTCTAGAAGTAATGAGGGGAGGAATGAGAAGAGTGTATTATTATAAAATTGTATAATTATTTTTTATAAGTTTAGATATCACTAAGAAGGACTTAGAGTAGGTTAGTGGAATATTATAACCATAATTAAGAACTTTAAATTTCGATGAATTGACTAATGTATCAAAATTATATATAAAGCATAGGGAACACTTGATGATCATATGAGTTGCCAAACATTTTTGCATTGTTTACCTAATCAAGATAATTTGGATTCTTTGAGTGATGATCATATGTGTCCATACAAAAGAAAATATATTATAGATTAATTAAAGAATGTCATTAATTAAGGACAAGGTATAGATTTCTAACAATATATATAGGATTTAATTTATCATTGCTAAGAGCATTGCAAAAACGAACTGATTCGTGTGAGAAGAAAAGTGATATTAATACTTTAACTGATGATGAAAATATCTCGAATAGAGGATTAGAATAAATTAAAACAGTCATGGATAAGTATCAGGAAAGATAATAAAAAATTCAAAGATATAAAAATAAGAAAAGAAATTGGGAACGAAAAATATCTTACTCAGGAAGATCTTAAGTTGCTGAATAACGATTAAGAATTAAAGGTAGATTCATAAGTAAAGAGGATTAATAATCAATTAAAAAATTGATAAATAATAAGTAATAGGAAGATTTTTATGATAAAAAACATAATCTTAATATTGAAAAATTTCATTAGCATACTAAATTATTTACATATGCAGAGGATCCTAAAATGATTTCCAAAAAATAAATTTTAATGGACATAAGAGATGAGTATCAATTTCAGTAATAATAATTAAAGATACTAAAATCAATCAAGACAAAAACTAAAATTTTTTAGATTGTTTAGAAATAAAAATCTTGAAAAAATTATATTATATAACAAGATATTAATTATTATGATAATAAAATTCATATTAATGGAATTAGAAATTAAATTATAAAAATATATATAATAACAATTATCAAAATTGAAGTTATTACTTATTTCTTGAATCAGGTTTTGACTTAACATTAGTAAATGTTTGCTTAAGAAGATTTTCAAAGTTTGTTTATAACTAAAGATTTGTTAACCCTTACTTTGGATTTTTTTTAAGAGTCTTTTTAACCAATTTATCTAATGTTTCTTTATTTAATATAACATTGTTATTATTTTTATCTTAATCTTTAGTAAAATAAAATTAAGAAGAGAACATTGGTTGAAAGGCAATGTTTTACTTCTGTTCTCTTTAAAGTTATTCAAAAAAGTGTTTATCATTTTAACTTATTTATTTAATATTTAATTTCTGTAGATCAGGAATATATGGAGGTTTTACTTATTTATTAATAAAAGACACTAAATCTACATCTCTAAACCATTTGTGTTAAAAGATTTCATCAATTCCAAAACGAGAACCTAATCTTTTATGAGGATCTTTGATCATCAATTATCTTATTAAATCTTTAATATCTGTACTTAAATAATCTGGAAATTCAACCTATTCTTTAAGTAATCTGGCATATATTATATTTTTATCTTCAGCATAAAATGGAGGTAATCCAGTAACAAATTCATATAATAAACATCCTAAACAATAATAATCAACTAATTAAGTATGTCCTGTTGTTTAAAACATTTCAGGAGCCATATATTCAGGTGAACCACAAAATGAATAAGCACAAGTATCTTTAGTCATATTAGGTCTAGCCAAACCAAAATCAGCCAATTATATATGTCCACTAGAATCAATTAGAATGTTTTCTGGTTTAATATCTCTATATATTATTTATTCATTATGTAAAAATCCTATAGCTAAAATAACTTCAATAATATAAAATTTTGCTTATTATTCTGAGAGTCTTTATAGTTTTTTAATAAAATTGAACATTTCACCTCCAGGACAATATTCAATTCCAAAAACAATCCAATTTTTAGTTTCAAAAGCACATTCTATTTAATTAGTAAAAATAGAACCACTATAAGTACTTTATATTAAAATATCTCTTTCATTTAAAATTAGATCTTATTTTTAATGCTATTAAATGAATTATTTATTAATCAATTTAAGAGCAATAAATTTACCATCTATTAATGATCTGGCTAAGATGACAGTTGAGAATCCACCTTTACCAATAATGGAAATAAATTGAAAACTACTTAGATTAATTCTTTTAATGTTTTAATTATAAATAGGCTTTAATCTAATTGTTTTATTGACAAAAGAATCCATTGGTAAATTTGGTTGTTATAAATAGTAATCAATAGCATAGTTCTCATCAACTGTTGAGAATCCAATTATTGTATTGTTGTTCTATTGTTTTTATTTCAATAGATTAGTTATTTTGTCAGTAGTAATATTTGGAGTGAAACGATAATTTTAAACTTCATCTTATGAATAATGAACATAAATGGATATTTCTTACTTCTATATTTTGTCTTGTGATTATGATTTACCAATTCCAGTATACATAGTACTCCCAACTAGTTCTTCCATACTATTTCTTCTTGTCATTGAGCCTTAAATAGGTTTGAGTTATTGACTATTTTATTATTAAGGATTCGAGTTTTTCTAAGTGAGAAGTAAATTAACACCCTTTGTTATATGAAAGAAATTTTCAGTTGGAATGCGTAATTATTTGCTTATGGGCCTTATTTTATCTTTTGAAACAGATTTTTATGATTTCTATAAACTATTTACTCTTTCAGTCAAGCTACCATTATTTGTTTTGGTAATATAATTTGATCTAACAACAAAATCTTCAATGACTCCCTAGGATATTTTTCTATTGGGAAATCTTTGAGGAGAGATCAAAGTGTTCTTAGAGATTTGTATTTTTTATTAAACAGGCAATCTTGATGGAGAAATTAGTATTTAATGTTACATAATTATATTAATAATCCAATTATTATATGTAAAATATCAAGTGAATTAGAGTAAATAACTAATACATTAATGTATGTCAAGTATTTATAAACTAAAAGTAAATTATTACATTCATTTTGCAATAATTTATGAATAATAATTAAACGAAGTTAATTAAACTGGGTTAAATAAAGAAAATAGTATAAAATGAATTGAATAAAGATAAATAATTTGATTAATTTTATAATTATGATTTTTACTAATTTAAAGACCTTTATTGCATTTCCTAATATATTATTATTATTAAATTAGATAATTAAATTGTTTATTTTTGGATTATTGTTGCAACTAGTTTATTGGTTGTAATAATGGATTAGTATAATAATACATAACTATAAATGTATAACAAAATTATATCAGTAAGGAATAATCAATTATATTTAATGAAAGAAGAATAAAATGAAAGATGTCAATATTAAGCCTTAAGAAATAAAGATGGATGTTATATTTAAGGAGCAAAAGAAAAGATACAATAATTAACTAATAATATCTTTTAATTCTGTAGATTAGATTATTTATATTAACAATAATTTACATTTCCTCTATAGAAATAATCTTAATTTTCAACTTTGTTAGGGTTTTATTAGATATATCAATTTTTATATTTAAAGAATACTATAAAAATAATTGGATTACTAATTTGGATAACATATGAATGAATTAAGTTAATATATTACAGGTCTATTATATAATGATTTCACCAAAATGAATAAGATTATCATAATAATTTATGGATTTAAAATAAATTATATTAAATATTAAATTAAAATGTAATAAGCTATTCCTAGTTTAACATCAGAAGTGAAATAAAGATTGGAAGATTAAGGATTCAAGCCTTTCAAATATAGACCATTACCAGAATATGCCAATCCCCATTCACTTTAATGTATTTTCAATATTAAATAGATTGGTTGACTAATGCTGGCTTAGGACTTATTTGTCTTGTTGGAAGACATTATGCTACATCCTAATAATCAATTAGAATATTATGGTCTGCATCTGCTGTATTCATTCCTCTATATGCCATTGCTACCAATGCTAAACTTGATGGATTAAGATAAAACAATTTTTATAGGTTTCCATTTCACTTTTCAACTTTAGAAAAACTTTGGATGATAGACTTGAATTGCATCCATTGACCAGAAGAGCTTGGGAAAGAGCCAAATAAACTCATAAAGAGTATTAGGATTAATTGAGAGAAGAGATTGCTACTTTAGAAGCAGAGTTAAGAAAATGAAATTATTGCAAATATAATAATAAAATTATATAATTATGAATGATTAACTTTTAACCATGACATCATAAGAGTTCTAATAGATTTATTAAGTAAAATATTTATATTGATTAACAATAAGGAAGTAGAATTCAAACTTGAAAAATTACACAATAAGAATAATGTCATCTAATAAAATCTTGATGTTGATATTATCAAAAGAGAACTCTATTAAATGATTAAACAAGAAATTGATCAATTATAATACTTTATTGAAGAAATTAAAGATTAAATGAGATAACTTGAAAACAATATCAACAACATAGACTCCAAAAATAAGTGATGAAATCTCTATACTTTTTAGGATCAAAAGATTAAAAGATAATTATCTTAAGGAAACATAACGTACCAAAGCTATTACTCGTATCTTAAATAATAAATCTTCATTTTAAAGTGAAAAGCAGTATGATGGAGTCAGTATTCTAAGTCAATCTGATACTGGAGGATAACCTGATTCTGTTCCTTCAAATTCATCTCAATTTGAATACTAATAATAAAACATATAATAAACAGATAGTTTTCAATAATAAGATAAATAATAGAATGGAATAACTATTTAAAATGAAGATTCTCCATCTAATTCTATGATATAAGAAAATTAAATATAAAATAATTCCTAAAAGGGATTACAAATTAATAATGAACATCAAATATAAGGTGAGGGTGAAGGAGAAGTATAAGAAGAAATTAATAATTAAGTTTACTTTATTGTTTTGGTCATTGTAATAATTATTGCTGTTTTGATTATCTGGTTGCTTTATGATGAAGATATTCTTTGATTTTTATCTATTATTTTATTGTTATTATTATTATTATTATATATGGAAGATTAGATTGACAACGAATTTTTGGATGAAAATTGTGAAAATTAAGATTTACAATAGTGTGATATTTGTAATAGGAAATTTCATTCTGAAAGAATTGAAAGACATCTTATTGCTTGCCAAAAAGCCTAATAAAAATAATAAGAAAGGGATAAAATAATATAAAAAAAGAAAAAACAAATTGAACAAAAAAAATAACACCTTTAATAAATGGATGTTGAAATAGTTAAAACTAATTGGAGGGAGGAACATCAAAAATTTTAGGAGTAAATCTAATATAACAGAAAATTAAAATAAGTAATAACAGCATTATATATTAAGTTAGAAATTGAAGGATAAGATGTAACTTAGTTAAAACCATTAGAAACCAAAGTAAATTCCAATTATGTTTTTTGTGAATATTGTGAAAGACATTTTGCAAAAAGTAACTATCCAATATTTATATAAGATGTTGCTGAAAGACATATACCTAAATGTAAAGAAATCATAGCTAAGCCTAAACCACCTAGAAAGAAGACTGTTGAAATGATCTAACCTTCTTAACCATAACTTCAAGAAAAAAGATAAGCCTAAGTTAGTACACCTTCTACTTCCAGTTAAATGGAGAGAAAACCTATTATCAAAAAACAATTATCAGATTCATCATAACAATTTAGACCTACAAGTTTATAAAAATTTATAGCTGAATAATCTGGCAAAGCAAATTTAACAAATATAGGTATCTAATCATATTATAAATAGGTTTTATTGATTGTAAAGCAAGAGCTACTGCTATCTAAGATACAGAATGTCCACATTGTAATAGAAGATTTATATCCAGAGCTGCTGAAAGACACATACCAATTTGTGAAAAATTAACAAGAAAACATTCTTTTTGTATAATTATTTAATTAATAGTTAGAGATTAAATATTAAAGTAGAAAAAGCGTACCTATTAAATAAAATAATTTAATGATGATAAATCCTACAGCAGTTTTGCCTTAAATACAAAGAAAAGGCACTAAGTAGTTAGAAGCAGGAAATTTGCCTCCTATTGGAAATAATTAAAAGTTTTGTACAGAATGTGGAAATAGATTCTAAGCAAATCATAAATATTGCGGTGGATGTGGACGCAAAAGGGAACCTGAAATTGTAATTTGAAATATCAACATTCATGATAACTTATTATTTTATATATATTAAAACAAATTTTTGATTTTAATTTCAATTAGGATTTATTAGGATTTCACTCATTCATTAAATTTATGATTGTTTTTATTTAAAATCTAGCATATAGTTCATACTTTTAAACAATTGTATTAAAAATTTATCAATCAATTGATCAGTACTTAATTAAATTTTTTTTAATTCTTAAGATTGCTTTGATCAAAGTTATTCGGAAATGCTTATTTACTAAATGAAAATAATTATTATTTAAATTATCTTAAAATATTGTATTCTTAATAGAAAATTCAAGTTATAGATAAGATTACTTAATAAAAATTATAAATTATATAGAATAGATTTATCATAAATCATCATTATTAACAAAGGTCCAGCCTCCTAAATGAGCTTTAGATTCATCTACTATGCTCTGCATATCAAAAACGTTTCCATCAATTTTAGTATTAATTCTAATTTTTCTGTTTGGTTTTGGCATTGTTAATTCTCTATTATAAACTATATCCCAATTAACATCCTAGAAATATTGATGTGCCTTGATTTCTTCTGAGTCACCTTTGCCTGAGCCAAGACGCTTAGCTGGATTTCGTTATAATAACTTAGGATTTATAAATAAATTGATACTGCTTTTAATAGATTTTTAGCCTCATTAGAAATATATGAAGGTATTTTGAGTTAAGCATTTTCAATATTATAAAACAATTCTTCTCTATTATTTGCATAATAAGGAGGCAATCCAACTAATAATTCATACATCACAACTCCTAATAAATACCAATCAACAGCTTTTCCATGACCAGATCTCTTTAACATCTCTGGTGCCAAATATGCAACTGATCCACAAAATGATCTAGCACCAGTATTAGGTTCAAGGATTCCTTCCTTAGATAATCCAAAATCTGTCAAAAGAGCATGACCTTCAGTATCCAAAACAATATTATCTGGTTTTAAATCTCTAAATATAATATCTCTTTTATGTAAATCCTCTAAGGCTAAGACAATTTCACATAAATAATTCTTCACTATATTTTCAGGTAGTCTCTTCTACTTTTATAACACTTCTCCTAAATCCCCTCCTGGACAATAATCTAAAATCATAAATAATTTATCCTATGTTTAGAATGCAAATCTTAATTTAACTATGAAGGGATGAGATGTGATTGATAATACATTCCTTTCAGTTAAAGCATATCTAGTTAAATTATGTTCTATTTATATTATAATATAATTGTACTCATGATTCTACTTTTATGGAGCACTTTCATAGCATATAACTAATTGCTTTTCTAAACTAAATATACTTCTCCAAAGCTTCCTTTTCCAATTAATCCAATAACTTGAAATTATTGAGGTCCAATCTTTTCTTCTTCTTTATTCTTAATTGAATCAGAATTTGTTGAAACAGTATTTGTTAACTATTATTTAGCAGAATGAGTTGAGTTTATTTTATTTAATCTTTCCTATTTAATCTCTTATTAAGTTCGATTGTTTGGAGAAGATGATTATTTATTTACAATATTTAAATTTTTACATGAATAACTATTTAATTGAGTTTGAGTTTATGCAAAATTTGGTTATTATTATTATTATTATTATTATTATTATTATTATTATTATTATTATTATTACTATTACTATTATTATTAATTTATCTATCCTCTTTTAAATTAAAACATTTTAAGAATGACATCATTTTAAGTGTTTTATATTTAGACCATATTCATTTTTTATTCTTAAATTAAGATTAACAAATTACTTACATTATTTTTTAATATCTTCATTATAATTCTAGAATAAACGTTGGATTTCTTCATTTTATGCATATTATTCAGCTATTTTTTGTTCTTTGTTTTTTTTAAACTAAATAGATTGTCTTTTCAATAATAATTGGATAATTATTTTATGATTCTATTTACAAGCATAATGTAATGCTGTATTTCCTTAAGAATCTTAGTGATTGATATCTGAACCTGCATTCATCAATATCATCAAGACTTCTTCGTATCCACTTATATTTAATTTAACAATTCAATACTTAATGGCAGCTAAAATTAACGGAGTCATAAGATCTTTGTTTTATGCATCAATAGCAATTTACTTAAATATTAATGCAGATGTTAATTAAGCATTCCCATTTTTGGCTGCATAATGAAGTGCTGTATTATTTAACATATCTTTAGCTGAAAGAGAAGCTCTTAGTTCTGAATTAATCTTCTATCTGGGAGGTAATTTTACTATGATAATAAATTTAATTTATACAAATATTATGAACTAATGTTGGTTCCAATAATTAGAGACATCCTCCAGTATTATTATTCTTACTCTCTTTAATAAACCATTAGTTTAATTATTTTTTTATATCCTCTAATTCACATGTTCTTGGAGATGTTGCTTCTACTGTTTTTGTTATACCTTAACTAGAGATAGGTATTTTAGGTTCATCAGCTTAACTTGTTTATCTTTTAGAACTTGACACTTTTCTGTTCTAAAAGAAAGGTATTAATTTATGTTAAGAGTGAGAACGATCAGTTGATGATTTGGTTTATTATTATTTTAATTGAGAAACTGTCTTAGGAGTCATTATTTTTGAAGCATTTGTTTATGATTTAGCTTAACTTAGTCTCCTATTATTAGCATCTTGGATTTGTTTTAATTTATCAAGATATTCTTAAAGACTTGGCTTGCTATTACTGTTAATATTCATTTATTATTTTTTCTAAAATATAAATAATATAATAATTTATAATTATCAATATAAATTGATTAATTACATATACAATTTCTAAATTAGAAATACGAAATTCAATAATACTATTAATACTTCTTTACAATAACTAAATTAAATCTATACTATTTTCATTTAAATTATATTAGAATAATTATAATTATCTTTAATTTATCTAATAATCTAATCAGTTTAATGATTATTTTTAAATCATAATCATTCAACTCTTAAATAAAAATTCTGAATTATATATTTTTACAAAATAATAGAACTTTTTAAAATACTTTAATTTATAATTGATAATAGTTGAACATAAGAGAGTTTAAACAATTAATTAATAAGAATAAATCTTTAAAAATGAATAGAAAATTATCAAATTAATCTTGATTTAAAAATATCAAAAAAGATCATAAATCAATTTTATTTATATATCAACGCTTTGATTATAATTATTGCTATTTCATCATTCTCAATCTTTTTGATTACTCTATAGAATCAAAATAGTATGGTTAACAATTTTACTATTAATATATTTATTCTTATTATTATGATTATAAAGGATGAGTTCTTTCTTACATCTAATTTAAATCCTGATTGTATTGTTAACGTAATGTTTCTAATCAAATATTTATAAATACAATAAAACTAAGATTAATGAGTTTATTATTATTCTAAAATGTTTTAAGCTGGTTTCAAAGGCCCATAAACAAATCTATCCTTATCATCTGCTGGATTATATAGAAATGGGTGAGGATTACCTAATAATATAATAAATTATTACTGGAAATAGACTTCTAATATTCAATTTGTTCCTAAGTCAATGGAGGAGATGATAATGGATAATATTTAATATTCTTGTTATTCAAATGTTTAATTTCATATTGATTTAATGTTTATTACATGTCTAATATTAAAATAAAACTTACTCCCAATAGTATCTTCAATGCCACCTAATTATTGTATATTTTATTTAAATAATTTAACTTATTCAGGAGGAGAAGGATCATTTATTGCTTATAGATATTAAATTTATCTCTTTTAAAATTCACTGACATCATGAGGGTCTTTGAAATATGTTGGCTATTTAATTATTTGACCTAACTAATTTGAATTAACATTAAAATCTAAATAATTATTAGGAACAGGAACAAATTAACTCCCTAACATATGATCCATCAATAAATGCTTTTATTATATGGGCTTATTATTTTCCTATTGAATCTTTGCATTCTCTAATGTTTATGAATATTAGAGCAATTATCTAAATAAAATTGTTTCACTACCCCTAATCTGCAAATAGAGTCTGACGAGAAAAATGATCAAGCAAGGAATTTTATTATGGGATATTCAATTATTATTACTAATAAGTTGGTATTTAGGGATATGCTTAGCCAAGGTTCTAGCAAACACTATGAAATGAAATAAAAGTAATACTTTCGATCGAATTATTCCATAACTTATGGAAATTGATCAGGATTCTTTATGTTAGGGTTTTAACAAAAGTTTGATGCTGTTTATTTAAAAACTAAATAGATATTTCTAATATTTACAATCCTTCTCCATTTAATTGGTTGTTATATTTAATAATAATACTTAAATAATTATATGAAAATAAAATAATTAGTTATCTAGAATTTTTTATTGTAAATTTGACAATAATTAAGAACTAGATAATAATCATCAAAATACTAATTTGACTTTTCATCATTAAAGAATTCTAATTTTGGAGAAAATACTTCTGATAAATAATCTTTAATCTCTTCTTATTTTTCGAAAGACCAATCTTCTAATTTGAAATCAGATACTTTTGGTTGTATATTTAATACTTCTAATTTTGATTATGGTATTTCTGTAGCTTATTATGAAAAGATTTATTAAAGTTATTCCTATTTTTCTGATTTTTAATCAACTGATTATTATTGCCTCTTCCTTCTTTACTCTTCAAATTTTACTTTTTACAATTAATTTAAAATTCCTTTATTGTATAATATTTCATTAACCTAATATTTGATATCAAAATTTCTGATAAATTCATCCTACCAAGCCTTACTAGCTTTAAAATTTGGAATACTAAATAATTCTATAGCTTTTTATTTTAACTAAGATCTTCTAACTCTTCTTCTCAATTCCACACTCTCCTTTATAATCCATTATCTTAATTCTTCTTCTGCTTTTGTATTAAGTTTCTTTCTTCCACATCCAGGTTTACGAGCTATTCCATCTTAATACCATCTTCTTAAGTTTTTAATTGAAGTATTATATTTTTCACTTAAGACTTAATACATCTCAAGAGAAGAGTCCTTTTGTAAACTCTCTAAGATCTGTTATTTATCTTCCTAACCTAAGATATTGTATTTCTTTAAAGCTTTATTCTTCTTATTTTAACGCTTGGTATTGGAGTTGCTGCTATTGTTATAGTTCATTACAAGTGATAATATTATTAAGGAATTTTATTAAAAGGGGGAGGTTAAGGTTGTACAAATCCTTTTATTAATTGGTATATTTATAATTATAATTTTAACAATCTTTATAATTAAAAATTTAATCAGCATAACAAGGCGATTATAGAATTAGTAATAAAATTACAATTTTTAATATTATATATATATTAATATATCAACAATAAAATAAATTCTAAACAGATTCTTTTTATGGTGTTTGAGCAACAATATATCACTTCATCTTTTTGTAAATAGATATAATTTTATTTATATCTTATTTTTTTAAAGATGATGACTGTATGATTAATATTTAAATGTTATCCTCGTCCATCATTGGACAGTATAACAAATTTAAAATGCCTGCATAGATATAACATTTAAATCATTATTTCTTTATTTACTTCAATGCTCCTTTCTTGTTAGGTTTTTTGAATGCCCAGTCAACTTGAATCTTTTTACCACATATTCCTTCTGATTTATTTATACCATTCAAAGCATCTTAAGCATGGGCAAATTCACTAAACTCAACTAATGCATAACTAATTATAATTATATTAGCTTCTACCCTTTAACAAAACCAGTTCTTCTATCAAGATTTAAATGTAGATTTTTAATTGGACCATATTTACTGAAAGCATCAAATAAATCATCTTCTTATGCTTCTTCATGAATTCCTTTTGCAATTAGAATCCATCCCTCAACAGCTATATTATATAATTTTTATATTCTACATTTCATTGGTCCTGGACCATCATCACTTTCTAAAGATTAGAAATTACCTGCTTCTCCTTTATATCTATCAGTATTGTCAATAACTTATTTTTTAGACATTAATTTATTAAATAAATAGAGAAAGCATTTATTTATAAACATATATTTTCTGAGATCTATTAAAAATATGTTCTTAAATAAATGATAATAGTTACATCAGAATTTGTACACTGATTGTATATAATATGATGAATATTATGTAATTAAAAATTTTCATTTCTAAAACATCTTTTATATTTACGCTACAGCTATACTATGATAACTATTTTTGCATAAATTGAATATTCTAAATCCTAAATCTGGTTGTTTTTCAGCCAATACTCTATATACAGGATTTATGAACTTCATTCTACCATTCATACTTAAAAAATTACTTAATTTATCACTAAATTAATAATAATTATATATTACCCTAAAGCACTAGGATAACTGCACTCAATTCCATAAATTAGANAATCCTTTTATTAATTGGTATATTTATAATTATAATTTTAACAATCTTTATAATTAAAAATTTAATCAGCATAACAAGGCGATTATAGAATTAGTAATAAAATTACAATTTTTAATATTATATATATATTAATATATCAACAATAAAATAAATTCTAAACAGATTCTTTTTATGGTGTTTGAGCAACAATATATCACTTCATCTTTTTGTAAATAGATATAATTTTATTTATATCTTATTTTTTTAAAGATGATGACTGTATGATTAATATTTAAATGTTATCCTCGTCCATCATTGGACAGTATAACAAATTTAAAATGCCTGCATAGATATAACATTTAAATCATTATTTCTTTATTTACTTCAATGCTCCTTTCTTGTTAGGTTTTTTGAATGCCCAGTCAACTTGAATCTTTTTACCACATATTCCTTCTGATTTATTTATACCATTCAAAGCATCTTAAGCATGGGCAAATTCACTAAACTCAACTAATGCATAACTAATTATAATTATATTAGCTTCTACCCTTTAACAAAACCAGTTCTTCTATCAAGATTTAAATGTAGATTTTTAATTGGACCATATTTACTGAAAGCATCAAATAAATCATCTTCTTATGCTTCTTCATGAATTCCTTTTGCAATTAGAATCCATCCCTCAACAGCTATATTATATAATTTTTATATTCTACATTTCATTGGTCCTGGACCATCATCACTTTCTAAAGATTAGAAATTACCTGCTTCTCCTTTATATCTATCAGTATTGTCAATAACTTATTTTTTAGACATTAATTTATTAAATAAATAGAGAAAGCATTTATTTATAAACATATATTTTCTGAGATCTATTAAAAATATGTTCTTAAATAAATGATAATAGTTACATCAGAATTTGTACACTGATTGTATATAATATGATGAATATTATGTAATTAAAAATTTTCATTTCTAAAACATCTTTTATATTTACGCTACAGCTATACTATGATAACTATTTTTGCATAAATTGAATATTCTAAATCCTAAATCTGGTTGTTTTTCAGCCAATACTCTATATACAGGATTTATGAACTTCATTCTACCATTCATACTTAAAAAATTACTTAATTTATCACTAAATTAATAATAATTATATATTACCCTAAAGCACTAGGATAACTGCACTCAATTCCATAAATTAGAATTCTATGTAAAATTTCAGGATTATTAGAGTCAAATAATTAATACTCCTCTTCCAAATTCTTTAATTTATTTTAATCAATCTTTTTATTTCCTAATAAATCCAAAACGTAGCATTTTTCATTTGAATGTAATTTTTAGAAATCTTCCAATGACAAAGTATTTTCATATAGATTATCTGCTAAATTTTAATATTTTTTATTAAATTATTCATCTATTTTTAATCTATCTTTTGGTAAACCAGGATCAATAATCCATTATTACCATTAAAGATCTACTCCTTATATATTATTTTCAAGAAGGAATTGCCTTAAAAGAATTCTAAATTAATCTGAATTTAATGTATTCTAAGATACTACTAGTCTTATAAACTATTAGAATTTCACTTCTCCAATTTAAGATTCAACAAATCTTAAAAATTAACAACCTTTTTCATAAGGAATTGCAGAAAAACAATCATCAGGATTTTATTAGTCAATTTTTGGAGATAAAGATGTATATGTATGATCAGCACCAAAATTATTAATACTCTTCTATAAATCATTATCCTAAGAATAATTATAGTCAGTACTCCTAACAGACCATGTAATGTTTATTGATCTTATCCGAAAATCTTGCCAACCATTTTATTTTCAATAAAAGTAGTGATACCCTCATTCAACCAAAAACATTCCCAATTTTAACATGTCATACTATTTCCAGACCAAGAATGTATCATCTCATGTATGACAACTGCAGTTTCACTTTTATCCCCCACTATTAAAGAGGGTGATAAAAATGTCAAATTTGGATTTTCCATTCCACCAAAAGGAAAGGCCTTTGGTAATACAACAACAGTATATTCATTCCATTTATAAGGTGTTAAATACTCTTCAATTTTTGATAGATATTTTTCCATATCAGAGAATTCATAAACACATTTATTGATTAAAATAGGCTCTGATATTACAAATGTTCTTTAGCTGATTTTTTTTTTCTCTAAATCTCCAGCACAAATGGCAAATAGATATGCAGGTATTGCAACAGGCTAATGAAATTAGAATATATTCTTGTCTCCTTAAATAGTTTCTTTGACTATCAATCCTGATCCATATGCTTTTAAAGGAGCAGGAACTATCAATTCAATATCGAAAGTTGATTTCATTGATGGACTATCTTAACAAGGAAACTAACTTATTAATTATAAGATATACTAATGATCTTGCATATATAGGTTCTGATTATGTAAATAAAAAGGGATGCTTATTACCAAAAGTTTATGATGGTTAAAGCCAATTCAAAGCAACTTATTCATTATGCATATTTTATAAAGTTGAATAAGTGATTTCAATCTGAAATTCTTCATTTGCTTATTTTTAAGTATTTATTTCTAATTGATCTCCTAACTCATTAACTACTAATTATTTATAATTAAATAGAGAGTTTTAATTATTTACATTCACTTGTTGAACATTCAACATTTTAGCATCTAATAATACTTTATTAATATCCTTAATGGCCTTCATCTATAAAATCACTTTTCCAATTAGTTATTATTGTTTAAAATCAATTTCAAGCTTTATTGATGTGTTTAAAGTTATAACATCTTCTAAATTAGACAATGAGCATTTATCCAATTTATTAAATATTGTTCCTTAAAGAGATTATTCATTTGATTAAAATTAATCAAGAGAATGCTATTTTGATTTTTATTTCCTTATATTCGATGAAACTACTATTATAGCGCCTATGAACCCTATGACTCCTAAACTTAACACTCCATAAATAGATTTCTTGTATAATTTATTAAGATAAAATTATATCAAGGCTTACANTTGATCTTATCCGAAAATCTTGCCAACCATTTTATTTTCAATAAAAGTAGTGATACCCTCATTCAACCAAAAACATTCCCAATTTTAACATGTCATACTATTTCCAGACCAAGAATGTATCATCTCATGTATGACAACTGCAGTTTCACTTTTATCCCCCACTATTAAAGAGGGTGATAAAAATGTCAAATTTGGATTTTCCATTCCACCAAAAGGAAAGGCCTTTGGTAATACAACAACAGTATATTCATTCCATTTATAAGGTGTTAAATACTCTTCAATTTTTGATAGATATTTTTCCATATCAGAGAATTCATAAACACATTTATTGATTAAAATAGGCTCTGATATTACAAATGTTCTTTAGCTGATTTTTTTTTTCTCTAAATCTCCAGCACAAATGGCAAATAGATATGCAGGTATTGCAACAGGCTAATGAAATTAGAATATATTCTTGTCTCCTTAAATAGTTTCTTTGACTATCAATCCTGATCCATATGCTTTTAAAGGAGCAGGAACTATCAATTCAATATCGAAAGTTGATTTCATTGATGGACTATCTTAACAAGGAAACTAACTTATTAATTATAAGATATACTAATGATCTTGCATATATAGGTTCTGATTATGTAAATAAAAAGGGATGCTTATTACCAAAAGTTTATGATGGTTAAAGCCAATTCAAAGCAACTTATTCATTATGCATATTTTATAAAGTTGAATAAGTGATTTCAATCTGAAATTCTTCATTTGCTTATTTTTAAGTATTTATTTCTAATTGATCTCCTAACTCATTAACTACTAATTATTTATAATTAAATAGAGAGTTTTAATTATTTACATTCACTTGTTGAACATTCAACATTTTAGCATCTAATAATACTTTATTAATATCCTTAATGGCCTTCATCTATAAAATCACTTTTCCAATTAGTTATTATTGTTTAAAATCAATTTCAAGCTTTATTGATGTGTTTAAAGTTATAACATCTTCTAAATTAGACAATGAGCATTTATCCAATTTATTAAATATTGTTCCTTAAAGAGATTATTCATTTGATTAAAATTAATCAAGAGAATGCTATTTTGATTTTTATTTCCTTATATTCGATGAAACTACTATTATAGCGCCTATGAACCCTATGACTCCTAAACTTAACACTCCATAAATAGATTTCTTGTATAATTTATTAAGATAAAATTATATCAAGGCTTACATTAATATTTTTATATATTTTATAATAATATAAAAATTATAAAATGTATAAGGGCATTCTTATATTTACATTAAAATATATATAGTTGACCTTCTTCATATATATATAAGAGAATATGAAAAGCAATACCATAACTTTGATATGAAGACGAATTGATCGAAAATTACAAATGATATCATATCAATTCAATAACAAGCAAAAACATATTTTAAGTATTTAAACTTTGATATTGCTTATAATTTAATATTTTCTATTAAAAATAGTGGTTTTGATAACTTCTGTAATTAATTGGAATAGTTTTGTGGATAAGGTAAAAAAAAATATATGACCTTTTATTTAAAAATTGATAAGAAAAAAGTTAAAATCATATGAGGAATCAAAAATATTAGATCCTATGATATATTATTTATTTTAGTTGTATTGTATTTTATAACATTATTCATCTCTTTAAGGAGTTAATCGATTAATCTTATTTGATTTTTTTTACAATTAGACTGTAGGTGTCACTGTCTTGATATTACAATAAATAGGCAACTTCTCTCTTTACATTTTTAGCAGGAAATGACTTATAATATTGTAATATCTTATTTAATGATTATTATTTGTCATTATTGACTTATTTGCTATTTTTTGATCTAATTTTTTATGATATGAGATTAATTTTCTCATTAATCTATTTTTAATTATTATTATTATTATTATTATTATTATCTTCAGATTCATATTCACTACTTTATTAATACTCACTACTACTTGATGACAATGAAGAAGAAGAGGGTATTTCTTGATTATATTCAACATCAGATCTAAATCATTAATTACCAAATAATACTTCTAAACTTTTTTAGTTATTTTTTTTAACTTCTTTTGATCTTTTTATTTTTTTTGGACTGTTTTTGTAATTAATTATTTTTGTTATTTTTATTATTTCTATTATTTAGCTTCATTATTCCATACAAGAATGTCTTATTCTAATATTTTCCATTTAATTTTCTCCCTTCTCATTACTTAAGAACACAACAATCTTAAATTCTCAAAATCCAATCTTATTGCTTACATATCTTTAAAATTATTCAACTATTATTTTACAAAAGAATATCCAGTTCTCTTATTTTATATTCAAATAAATTTACCTGAAGTTAACTTGGTTTCTTTCTATATAATTAATCATCTGTTAAAGGACGAACATACTTTTCGAATATGGAATCTTTTGTTAATTGTTCTAAATCACCCCCACAAATAGTATATAAATCTTTTAATTTAATCATTATATCATTTCTTTGACATCTTGAACAAAAACATATAGCCTAATTACATTACAAAAACTACCTAACAAAAAGGACAAACCCAATCTGTCTTTTAAGCTACCTCATCTATTTTTATATCATAATTTTATTTTAAACACATTCTACAAAACTTTCTTTAACATATCAATTCTCCATCTAAATTAAATTAGTATTGATTTTATACTCTTTTTTGAATAAATACTATATGCTGTTTTCTTTCTATTAGGTACTTGTCTTCTACTTTTGATACCTTCATCATCCACTATTATTTTTGAATTTAATTATTACTTTGAGCAAACAAATATGAATCTGTTATTGATGAATTAATTATAGGTAGACCCATAGTTCCACTTCGATAATTACAAGAGATAAGATATTCTTCTCTAAATAACATTTTGCAATGATGACATGCCTCATATCTTAACAAAGTAGAATCATTATCACCAGATTAAGATGCTTTAGATTCTTTAGTTAGATTTTTATTTATTAATGGATTAGGCTTCTATCTATTTTATTGTACTTGATTTATTCCAATAAACTTGATTAATCAAACAATGACATACATTTTAAGCTATATGAGAATATTTAGTTTTCTAAGGGATATTGTAAAATTTAAATAATGATGTATCTCTTAATTTATCCAATTCGTACATCAAATCTTCATCTATATTTACATATGTTGAATTCAAAGCTGATTCAAATGCTACACAGAATTAATAACCATTAGGAGAATGGACAGTATTAATGACTTTCACTATTGATTCTGCTGTCTATCTAAAGTCCAGTTGTTCTAGACTCTTTCTCAGATAAGTCAATAATGCTTCATTATTATATATAATTTGATTCTTGCTAAGATTATTATTGCCTCTGCCTTATTTATAAATATGAACTTAGGTTCCAAAGACATTTAAAGGTTATTCACTTTTAATCTTTTAAGTCAGATTTTATAGATCTTTCTTATTGGATTTATTTAATTATTGTAATTCATTTGAATATTCTTATAATTGTTGAAATATTTCATCTTTTTATTCTGTTCTTAATTCTATTTATTCATTTAATTTATCTAACAATTTATCTAATTAAGCATTTTCTTAAATTAATGAACTTAATTATATATATAATTAATACCTAATGTTTTTTTATTTAAATTTAACCATTGATTTTTGTTTCATGTAATAAATTTTATCAATCTAAGGTATTTTTAAAGCTTTTGCTTTATGAATAAGACCACTCAACTTGATATGCTTCTAAATATTCTCCCAATAAGTTTTATTTTCTGATTAAATCTGTTGTTTATTTAAGATTTATCTAGCTTAATAAAACTTATAATCAGCATATTTCACAGGAAATTCTGTTACAATAGCATCATCATTCATAGCTTTGAGATATTCAAGTCTCTCTTATTCAGGTTCATCCACTTTCTTAAAGTACACTTAATTAATATGTCTCCAAAAATAACATAAAATGTATTCATTCTAATATGAACTGTTAATGTAGGAATTGTTCTATGATGTCCTAATCTTCAGCTTCCGTCTAATTGTAATGAATATTTATGTTACCTAGAGTATTTATCATAAATATCAAAATTCCCATTCTTTTTATCTAACTTTATTATTTTCTCAAGATTATTTTTGTTTTAGTTTTTATCAGCATTCAATTAATTTTCTTCGCTCATTCCTAAAATAATATACTTGAAATAGCAAAATATAATGTATATAGGGAATACGAAAGAATATTGTTCAATATTCTCGTTGTATAACAATACCTTTCTTTGAATTTCTCTCTTACAAAAAGAGTGATATTTATTAAATAAAATAATGAAATCACGTATAATTTAAATTAATACACTATCTAAAATTATTAACAGATACTCGATCAACATTTCCGCATGGACTCAAGAACAAGAGTTGTTATTATACACATATATATTATACACATTATAATCCAAAATACTAACAAACCATTTACAAGGTATTTTTCTATGGGTTTCGAAACTCTCTCACACGCGATTTTTTTTTTTTCTATTATCCCAAAGAAAACATTTAAATAGCTTGTTGGCACATTTATTAGATATTTAAATTATTCTAAATAACATTTATTTTTAGTTACTACTTAAAATAATTACATAATGATTTTGTATTTACTACCCTATTTTTATTAAATAATTCAAAATCATTTTAAATAATTTATTATAACTAAGTGTTTATTAAGAAGTCTTTAACTTATAGATATTCAAATATATAACATCAAATATTTGTATAGTTGTGAATATATTAAAAAGTGAATAATTATTTTTTTTAAGATTATCACACATCAGTATATTTAATAATATTGATTAAAATATTGTGATTATTATCTTAAAGATATAATTAATTATTTTTTAATATTCAAAGTGTTAATAATTATAATTGTAGAGTTGATTTTATCTTTTTAAGCATTTTAAATATTCTCATGTTTAAGAGATTTATAATTTATATATATATATATAATATAACTACTTTTTTATATACATATAATATTACAATCAAATAAATTAATTATTATCAAATGCTATTTACAATTATTAATATAATTTAAATTCAAATTAATGGAAGAACCGAAAGGGATTGTCCGTCATATATAGACATTGCAAGATCCATAATTATCTCGATCATATAGAGGACATGAAAAAACATATTGTCTATCATTTGATCCATAAATGAGGTAATTAGCATCTGGAGGAAATGATTCAATAATATATGTCTATAGTTTTAAGCCATAAGGAAGACCATTTAAATTTAATGGACATAAAGGAGCAGTTTATAGTGTGCAATTTTCACCTGATGGATAAATAATTGCAAGTGGTGGAGAAGATAGGACAATTCGTTTATGGAAGAATTCTGTGTAATTTGATATTAATATGAATTTAATAGTTTAGGAAAGTGTACAGCAATTAAAGGACATATTGGTAGTGTTAGATCATTATCATTTTCTTAAGATAGCAGTATGATAGTATCATCATCAGATGATAAAACAATTAAGGGATGGAATGTATTAAAGAATAATTTTATGTTCTCATTGGCAGGACATACTAATTGGGTTAGATAAGCTAAATTATCTCCAGATTCTAGATTAGTAGTTTCTGGTTCAGATGATTCAACAGTTCGTTTATGGGATGTTAATTTATCAAAAGAATTATAGAAATTCAAATGTGAAGATTCAATATATTCAATTGATTGGATTAGTGATGGAACTACTATATGTGCAGGTTAAATGGATGGAAAAATTAAATTATGGGATGCTCGTTCAATGAGATTAATATAATATTATGAATGTAGTAAAAAATCAGTTAATACAATAAATACTCATCCTAGTGGTAATTTTCTATTATCTGGTGATGATGAAAGCAATTTAAAAATATTTGATTTAAGATAAGGAAGATTAGCATGGTCATTATATTCCCATTCTTAACCAATTAAATAAGTATAATTTAATTATGCAGGTGATTATTTTGCTTCAGCTGGATTAGATTCAAATGTTTTAGTTTGGTAATCTAATTTTGATGAAAATATGAAGCCTTGTAATGTTATTAATTTTGTAGATAAGAATTTATCAAATAATGATTCATAAACATTATCATCTTCAAATTAATTTAAGGTTCCTTAAACTACATTTAAAGCTAATAAATAATAAAATAAAATNTAATTTAAATTCAAATTAATGGAAGAACCTAAAGGGATTGTTCGTCATATATAGACATTGCAAGATCCACAATTATCTAGATCATATAGAGGACATGAAAAAACATATTGTCTATCATTTGATCCATAAATGAGATAATTAGCATCTGGAGGAAATGATTCAATAATATATGTCTATAGTTTCAAACCATAAGGAAGACCATTTAAATTTAATGGTCATAAAGGAGCAGTTTACAGTGTTTAATTTTCACCTGATGGTTAAATAATTGCAAGTGGTGGAGAAGACAGGACAATTCGTTTATGGAAGAATTCTGTGTAATTTGATATTAATATGAATTTAATAGTTTAGGAAAGTGTACAGCAATTAAAGGACATATTGGTAGTGTTAGATCATTATCATTTTCTTAAGATAGCAGTATGATAGTATCATCATCAGATGATAAAACAATTAAGGGATGGAATGTATTAAAGAATAATTTTATGTTCTCATTGGCAGGACATACTAATTGGGTTAGATAAGCTAAATTATCTCCAGATTCTAGATTAGTAGTTTCTGGTTCAGATGATTCAACAGTTCGTTTATGGGATGTTAATTTATCAAAAGAATTATAGAAATTCAAATGTGAAGATTCAATATATTCAATTGATTGGATTAGTGATGGAACTACTATATGTGCAGGTTAAATGGATGGAAAAATTAAATTATGGGATGCTCGTTCAATGAGATTAATATAATATTATGAATGTAGTAAAAAATCAGTTAATACAATAAATACTCATCCTAGTGGTAATTTTCTATTATCTGGTGATGATGAAAGCAATTTAAAAATATTTGATTTAAGATAAGGAAGATTAGCATGGTCATTATATTCCCATTCTTAACCAATTAAATAAGTATAATTTAATTATGCAGGTGATTATTTTGCTTCAGCTGGATTAGATTCAAATGTTTTAGTTTGGTAATCTAATTTTGATGAAAATATGAAGCCTTGTAATGTTATTAATTTTGTAGATAAGAATTTATCAAATAATGATTCATAAACATTATCATCTTCAAATTATTTTAAGGTTCCTTAAACTACATTTAAAGCTAATAAATAATAAAATAAAATTAATTATGAAAACTAAACATCTTAATCTTTATTAATTAATAATTAGACTCATTAAAGTCCTTTGGCATAAATGTTATCAACTAAATTTGAAAAAATAGTATCTTAAATGGATCAAGTTACTTAATTGATTGTATCTATTGATAAGAGAATTACTTCAAATGAAGATTAAGTCAAAAAATTATTATAAGTATTAAGATTATTTTATTATATTAGAATGAGAGAGTCAAATCAATTCTTGGTGTTTATGAAGAGTAATATAAAGAACCATATTAGAAGGCTGCTGTTTGGGAGAATTATAGAAATAAACAATAATAAAACAATAATTAATTAACTCTATAACAATAATAATAATTATAAGATCAAGAACCTGTTTTTGGAACAGGATCATTTATGAGAGATGGAGAATTAGAAGATTTTCCAGAAGAAAGTGAATAGAAATTAAAATAAGAATATGAAGATGAAAAATACAAATTATAATAAGAACATATATTAGAAAGTGATTAAAATCAATAAACTTTTAATGTTACTAGTGAATAGAATATCTTTTAAACAGGAGCTTTAGATGGAACTTTAAGTAATCAAAATAATTATAATAATACATTTTCATTGACTTTCACTTAAAGATAAAACTTATAAGAATAATTGAATAATTTAGGAGATTGGAGAGAATAACTTGAATAAGTATAAAGGGAAGTAATGGAAAATTAATAAGATAATGATTAATTTATAAGAGAAGTTAATGAAGATGAAGAAGAATAATAGGATTTATAGGATATACAACAATAATAAGAACATTAAGGTTAATAAGTAGAAATTCAAGAGGAAGAATATCCAGTTTAAGAAGATTTTTAAGATGAATAAGGAAATTAAGGAGAAGAGGAAATCAGATATTAAGATCAAGGAGCATAAGAATGAAACTAATTAATATATATCAATTTTTAATGATTTTCTTTATCTACATATCATGATCAATCAAAATATTGTTATAATTACAAATGTACAATAGAATAAAAATAAGGGATATGCTATTAACAATCTTCTATGTTATAATCCTAAAATCTAAAAATTATTATTCTAATTTTACAGTATCAAAAGTCTTTGAAACACTAGCAGTAGACCAAACTGCACATACTATAGCTAATGCATATCCAAATGATGAACTATAATTAATTAATGATCTTTAAGTACTTTAATTACAAAAATATACTGAGTAATGATAACACAACTATTGGTGCCAATCCATAACCCAAATAACTCAATATTTTATAGAACTCTATCTACTTACCTTGTTGTTAAATCATAAAATTCATTAATAAATAGAGTAATAACCAACCCCATAATCCAATCCCATAAATATAATTGAAATGCAATTTTCCTGTCTTATGAATTAAATAACTATTTACTAATAATTGTAATAAGCCCAAAGATATTACTATCAGAATAGGACCTGATAGATCAGGATCTTCCAAATACTCACTATCAGATTTTTAGAATAAGAGAACATTCATTATTCTAGATTTAATTAGTAATGGCGATGTAATATCAAGGTCTAATTAAATACTGGATCTATTGAAATACCTTCTAATAATGGTAAGTCTTCAGCAGTATCTTGAGGCTATTATTTCTATGAGTCAAACAATAAATGTTTCTCTTCTTGATTTGCCACGTTGTCACCTAATTTAATGGTTTCATTTAATTCATCATTTTCTTTAAATATCAACAAATATCATACATATGTCAAAGGGATTATTCTAGTATTACTTTGGCTTCTCATTTGGATCTATAATACCAAATGGATTTTTTAGTGGCTACATTAAATTAATTAATATGATCTAAAATGGTATTGTATTGAATATAAGATAAAATGGATCTGAAGAATAATAATAAATTGATCTACACAAAAAGTAATTATAAAATTCATCTTGCATTCATGGATAGTCGTTTTTTAATATTTTTGTTATTAAATGAGAAACTCATATTTGCTGTTGATCATTGCCATTACATTAGTACATGGAATGGAGGAGTCTCTGACCCTTATGAGTTTAGAGTAGATGAATTCTTTAGACACATCTTCATTTGACTGTTAACGTCCATAGTCTGAATTCATATAGATGGAGAATTCCTTGTCTTAATGGCAAGACTTATTAGAACATAAAGATTATATTGATCATGATATTTAAGTACTTCAAGGCATCCAAGCTAAAGTGGGCCTCAAAGCATCACATAAATAAGTGATTAAATCATTAAGTCAACTTAAATTACCTAAAACATCCACAAAGATAGGCTTAGCTGAAGTTGAAGCACTTAAATAATAATGTGGATGTCTCAAAAATTCTGATGACAATTGTGATGCTCTATTAAAATTGCTATCTTATTTCATTCTCTCCCTTAGAAATGTCTAATCCTAATGCCAATAACATCCAATAACTGTAATTAAAATTAAGGGAAAAATCCATGATCTCTAAGTCATCAGAGCTGGATGTGGAGGTACCATAGATATCAAAGGTGATGAGGGTTGTGATACTCAAGAATAAACTTAACCAGATTAACCATCAACAGATCCAACCATATAACCAACAGAAGTTCCAGCTACCGATCCTATCCCATAACCAACTACAGATCCAATTCCAGATGATCAAAAGGATTCAGAAGAATCTACAGAAGAAACAACAGTTGATATTACTGAAGAAACAGTTGATACCCCAGAAGAAGAACAGGAAGATTAATAACCACCTCAACCTACAGAAGAGACAGCTGAACCCGAAGAAGGATAAGCTACAGTTGATGAAAATCAACCAGAAGAAGAAGGTGAAGCTCCTGATGCTGAAGAAAATTAACCAGCTGTTGCAGAAGAATAAGAAGGAACCCCAGAAGAAACATAAGCAGAAGAGGCAGTTGATACTCCTGCTGCAGAAGAGGAAGCTGATACTCAATCACCAGAAGAAGATGGAGCAGAGGAATAAATACAAGATGCTGAAGAAGGTGAAAGCACACAAGAAGAAGTTGATTAAGCTGAGGATATTACTGAACCAGAAGAAGAAATTGATATTTAAGTACCAGAAGAAGGATCTGAAGAAAATGTTGCTGAAACAGCAGAAGAAGCATAACCAGAAAGTGCAGAAGAAAATGCAGCTGATAATGCTGAAGAAGGATAGGCTGAGAGTGCTGAGGAAAGTGTAGCTGAAGCAACTGAAGAAGGATAGGCTGAGAATGCTGAAGAAAGTCAACCTGAAGTAACTGAAGAAGGTGCAACTGAAGAAGATGCAGCAGAAGCAACTGAAGAAGTGGCAGTTGAAGCATCTGAAGAAACAGCAGTTTAGGCTGAGGAAGAAGAATTATAAATAAATGAACCAGCAGAAGAAATTGATATTGAGGTACCTGCAGAGGAAGAGGCATGTGAAGAAGAGGAATCAGTTTGGGAAGAGGTAGAAGAAGAAATTGATGAAGAGATTAGTGAAGAAACATCTTAAGAAAATTAAAATTAACCAGCAGGTGAATCTGAAGAAGAATAATCTAGTGGTGAATAACAAGGGGAAGAATAAGAATAATAAGCAGATGCTGAAGAGACAGAGAGTTCAGTTGGAGAACCTTTAGAATTTGAAGAAGAATAGAATGATGAAGTTCCTGCAGAAGAAACTATTACTGATGAAGAAACAACAGATGAAGAAGAGAGCAGTGTTGGTGATGAGCCAATTCCTGATGATTAATAAGATGAAGAGTAGGAAGTTTTACCAGAAGGATGCAGATAAGTTCCTGAAGATGTTTTGGATATCAGTTGGTTGAGTACAGAACCAATTGCTGTAAGTGATTTACCAGTTACAGAGACTTAAATAATTGGTTTATCATTTTATTTCAGATGGTTATCAAAATTCCCAGATGCTGTTCCTGAAGGATTGAGTTAAGAAACAAAATTCTTTGTTGCTGGTTTAGGAAATGCATTGAAATTCTATGTAGGATAAGGAGGATTCCATTTCAGTTCATTTGATGAGAATGGTTAAGAAACATATAAGAATGCTGGTCATGGTGATATTGAAGGATAATGGGTACTTGTATACTTTGGTATTTCCAATTAAAAAGTTACAGGATTTGCTTAAATTTAAGGATAAGATGTTGAGACAATAGAATTTGATGTAAATTTGACATTAGATGAATCTTATCAATTAGTGATTGGTGGACCAGATGGTGATGTTAAATCATTTAATGGTTAGATTGCTAGAGTATTTGCATTCAATGATGAATTGTACACAGAAACTAGTGAATTTACTTAATTTATTACAAATTGTTATGGAATACCTAAAAATATTTATAGTGGTAAGAGATTAACAATTCCAATTGAGAAGGAGAGAACATTTGTATCTCCAGCTGCTTTTGATTATGATAGCATTTTTGAAAATAAGAAACCAATGTTACCAGATGAGTATTCTGCTAGTGGTTGGTTCAAATGGGAAGTACCAAATGATTAAAATATTTGGCATTCAGGATTTAGATGGACTACAAATAATTAAGAGACTAATCAAAACTTTAGACTCTTGGGAGATAGAGGACTATCTTTCTTTGTTGGAGATGAAGATAATTTATAAGGACATGTTGCTTTTTGTACATATTCTTTCAAGACTGCAAATGGGTATTTAATTTAAATATGTTAGTAAATAAAAAGTTAATGATTGTAAAATGGTTAAGTATGGAAATAAATTGACTGAATGGTTCTATGTTTATTTTGGATATAGTAGACATTTGAATAAGGCTTATGGATATATGGAATTCACACATGAGATGGCTTAAATGGAATTTAAAGATGTTAGACATTATTATGCTAGCAAAATATATTTCTATTTGGGATAAGATAAGTTTTATCCACCTTTCAATGGCAAAGTATAAGGATTCATGTTAAATTTCTTTGATGGATCTTATAGAACATCCAGTTATGATTACAGTATTATTATTTAATTAAATATAAAAAATAGCTTTCGGATATTTCCCAAGACCAGTCTATGAATATGATGATTCTAAGGAATTGATACCATCTGAACCAGTATAAAAGAAGAAGTAATTATTTTTATATATATTTTAGATGTCCAAAAGTTGTTGAAATCACTGTTGAAAATGCATCTGATGTTTTATGTGCTTTGAGTAATTATTTGTCTGCTGTTGCACAAGGACATGATCCTGCTTCAGATCCTAAAGCTGAAACCTTCTGTTTCTGTTTAGTCTATGAGGAAGGTATTTGTTATTTATTAAATATTAGAAAATGCATCTCCTGATTTGTTGATGTTGGCTTAAATATTTGGTGGAAAGATTAAATAAAAATAATCTAATGTTAATTCCTCAATCAAGAAATTGATAAGCAGATAGAATGCACTATTAAAGTGATTGTTAGAACATTCAATATTATTTTATTAATTAATATACTCTCATACTAAAAGTGGAAATTATTACTTTTCTATATTATTTAATTTATCCAACATGAATATATTTAAGTAAAAAAAAAAAGAAGAACCCAAAAAGAAAATTACAGTCACCATTGTATATTAATATTTTCTATTTTAGGAATAACTAACCATGTTATTTATGAAATCAAAGGAATACATTAATCTTGATAAATAGAAAAAAATTAATGAAGCCATTTAATAGGAAACTAAATTATTGAATATGCTCAAGGCTCCTTAAAGAAATAGGAAGGATGAAGAAATTTAAATCATTAAAATTGTTAATATCCTTAATACCATTGAAGCCTATGATAAGGCTATTATGTAATTAAAATTATTTTTATTCTTCTTAGTCAAATAAGTAACATAGATCAATTCAAGAGTCAAATTGTAGCAAGTTAAGGTGACCCCTCTAAAGTCAGTTAATACATTCCGTAATTTTTCTATTGCTACCATTAGTTATATCGCCAGTGTTTGTTATTACATTGAAAAAACTAATGATTTAAGAGGTGCTGTTGATCTCAAATAATAATTAAATGAATATTATGGATGTGATATTGCAACCACTTTTGAAAAATCAGTTGATCAAAATGCTAAATATTTATTTGGTATTTTAAATCTCTAATCTCCATCTGTTTAAAAATATGCATAAGACTTTAGTAAAAAATATTAGGTACTTGATGTTCCAGGATTAAATTATTAATCATAATAATAATAATAACAAGCTTGGAATCCTGCTTAATATCCTCAACCTTAATAAGGAGGTCCATAATAAGGTGGAGGTTATCCATAATAATAATAAGGTGGAGGTTATCCATAATAATAATAAGGTGGAGGTTATCCATAATAATAATAAGGTGGAGGTTATCCATAATAATAATAAGGTGGAGGTTATCCATAATAATAATAAGGTGGAGGTTATCCATAATAATAATAAGGTGGAGGTTATCCATAATAATAATAAGGTGGAGGTTATCCATAATAATAATAAGGTGGAGGTTATCCATAATAATAATAAGGTGGAGGTTATCCATAATAATAATAAGGTGGAGGTTATCCATAATAATAATAAGGTGGAGGTTATCCATAATAATAATAAGGTGGAGGTTATCCATAATAATAATAAGGTGGAGGTTATCCATAATAATAATAAGGTGGAGGTTATCCATAATAATAATAAGGTGGAGGTTATCCATAATAATAATAAGGTGGAGGTTATCCATAATAATAATAAGGTGGAGGTTATCCATAATAATAATAAGGTGGAGGTTATCCATAATAATAATAAGGTGGAGGTTATCCATAATAATAATAAGGTGGAGGTTATCCATAATAATAATAAGGTGGAGGTTATCCATAATAATAATAAGGTGGAGGTTATCCATAATAATAATAAGGTGGAGGTTATCCATAATAATAATAAGGTGGAGGTTATCCATAATAACCTTAACAATATCCATAATAAGGTAATTATTAATAGTCATTTCAAAACTCATAATAAACCTCATATCAATAATAAATCCCTTAATAAAATAATTTTTATCCTAACTCCTATTAAAATCATTATGGTTTATAATAAAGCTCTAATCCATATGGATAATTATAATTTAGTTAATAGAATATTTACTAAAATAATCCAAATGTTTTTTTGCCTCAGATTTCTCAACCATAAATAGGTTTAAACCAAAAATAAAATTCAAATTTTAATTATCCATAACAACAACATTCAATATACAATGCACCATCTTAAAAATAAGATAATAATAACATTGGTTTTGTTCCATTATAATAATAATCATAATTTTAATAATAATAAAATTAGTCATAATAACAATAGATTGTAGTAGATCCATTTGCAATAATTAATTAATCAAATAATTAATAGATGGTAGAATTGCCTCCTTTACCCAAATAATCAACTATTTAATCCAATATTCCATTAAATTAAAATGGAGATAAATTTGCATTCAACAATTAAGCTCCATCTGATGAATAAGTACCATTTCAGTCTTAGAATTCTTAAAATTAAAGTAATTAATATTTCTAATTATATTAGATAATACTGGTAATTTTGGATAGAATAATCCTTTAGGGAATAGTTTAAATTCAAGGGGAAGTAAGTTTAGATAATAAATTTAGCGTAATTAACAGATCCTTTGAGTGATTAGAATTAGAATATTTTTGAAACAACAACAATTGGTTAAGATATGGCATTTAGTTTACCTATTATGAACAATAAGAAAAATGAGGAGGTTCCCTTAGGAATAAATCATGATTTACGTTCTTTAGAAATCTTACATAATTTCAAGAATGGGGTTCCATAATCTATTAATGATTCGATAAATTAATTACAATTGGCTGGTTTAAGTATATGAAAAAGTATAATGCATATATTTCTATAAGAAAAATATAATTGTATTATTATTAATTTAAGGGTTAATGAAATTTGATGAGATATTTAATATTTAAATAATTAAGTTAACATTTACAAGCATTGAAAAAGTAATATATGCTCCTTCTTTTCTTAAATACATCTCATATATTTACAAAGTGTTGATTTTTTTATTCTTAGTGAATAAGTCGAATGATAACTATGCAAGGACATAATATTAAGAGGATGGTAATAATTTGTTTTTTGATTTGTTTCTGTCTTATAGATCTTCCTCGAAACCAATTTTTCCAGGCATCTATGCTACCAGAAAAAGAGAGTTAAAAGAATAGCAATTGTAAATTACATATAGGAAACCTTCCTCTATAAATAACTGAAGAGACATTGCATCGAGTATTCTCAAAATATGGGTAGATAAAGGAAGTGAAGATAATTCGAAAAAATAGTCAAGGGGTTTAGTTTATTATTTAAATTATAATAAGTAACCTTTGAAAGATTATTGCTATGGCTTTGTTCTTATGTGTGATGGTGATGGTGCTTAAAATGCAGTTACAGAATTGAAATAAAATAGTCCTTTGGGTACAAATTGGACAGTTGCATTTAGTAAAGACAAAAATGATGTATGTTTGTATATAGTAATATAAATGAAGGAAATTGTAGGGAATGGTCATTAGAAATCTGAGAAGATAAGATAGAATGATAAATCAAAGGAGAGATTCAAGAAAGATAAGACTAAGATAAAAAAGAAGGTTGTAATTTTAATTCATAAACGACTAAGAAATCGGAATCATCTTCATCATCTGATTCATCTATAGAAAAATCAGATAAAAAACAAAAAAAATAAAAAAAGAAGAAGTAATCAAGTTCGTCTGAATCATCTTCATCCAAATTGCCAACGAGAAGTGCCCTTGTAAAAATAGAAAGTAAGCCAATTGATAATAATCTTTTCGATATGGTATTTTCAGGTGAGTCTTAACGTCATCCTTTGTATTAATAAGTATTAATATAATCTTTAAATAGCCATAATCATAATATTAAATAAAACATATTGTAAATGTAAGAGAGTTGTTTATATCTGGTATTCCTTAATCTAAAACTTAATCTGATATCTAAAGAATATTTTCTCATTATGGAATAGTAGAAAGAATAGATATAATACCAAAATAATTAGCAAATTTTGCATATGTAAAATTTAAGAAATTAGATGCTGTAAATTAGGCAATCCAAAATTAATAATATATAATTGAATAACTTGATGGTATAGGATAAGTGAAAATATATTAATCAGATCCATTTAAAAGAGCATAAATAGTAGGAAATGCAGAAGATAGTGAGAAAGTAAATATAATAATTAAAAACTCAGGATGAAGATATGCTTCCTGTAATGTTTATAGGATTCCCTCCAAACTAAAGTTTTACTATTGATGAGAAGTTCATCAAAAAAATGGCTTAAAAATATGGAGGAGATGTAAAAGGAGTTTAACTCTTCCATCCTTAATCTCCATAATTAAGATCTTATATTCTTATTGAATTTTCCTAACTAAGAGATTGTAAAAAAGCCAGAAGGAAGTTTTGTAGATATAAGATACAAATTCTTGGAGATAAGAAATGTGATGTAGCAATTTTATCAAATTATTCCAATAATCTCCAAAATAAGAAATAAGCAACTTAGTATATACCATATACAATGGGTATTAAACACTATTTATAATAGATTATATGGCAACCAATCAATAAATGCCTATGCATATGATGCCCAGACCATTTTAGACATAAATGACTATGATATAACCTTATCCAAATTAACCTTTGTCTTAATAATAATTCCAATCATCTCATTATGGTGATTATAATTAAATACCTATAATGTATCCTCAATAACAATAAAATCAATAATAAATGATTTATATCAAAAATTAGTCTTAAATATCTTTGTCTAATTAATAATAAACTCAACCATAATTTCGACCTCATTAATAATAACCAATCAATCCTTATTATTAATAATTAACTACCTAGACATAAAATCAAAATTATACATAACAGTAATTCATGGATATGATTATGCCTCCACCTTAACCAATGAAATCTGAAGATTCAAATCCTACTTTTTGGAGTGGATATATGAATAGAGGTAAATAACATAGAGTTGGTATTGATGCTCGAATGTATAGTGCTGTTATAGATAGAAATAAAAGTAAATTTGCAAATAATTTAGTCAATTTACCTTGTAATTTAGAAATGAGTTATCTATGTTCTTATTAAGATGCATATTAAAGAGCTATTTAAGATTAGTCTGCTGTCTTTATATTTAGTCCAGCTTAAGAATCAGATTACCCCAAATTCACAGAATATATATAATATTTGAGAAACAAAGTAAAAAAAAATTAATTATATTCCAAATAGCAAAGAGCTGGAGTTATTCAAACTGAAGTCTTTTTTATTTATGTGATACCGCCTGGAGTACTAGAAGCACAATAAATTTGCAATATAAACTAATAAGAAATGATTGCCATTTATTGTAATAAAGATATAAAGATTTGAAAAAATAATCAACAAAATTATTTAAAATATAAACATTGTCAAATTACATATTATTTTTTACTTTATTATAATGTAATTCAAATCCATTCTAAATCTAATAAAAAAATTAACCTTAAATATCATACAAATCCTATTTCTAGTTCTATTGCTAAGATTCGGAGTATATAACTGTTTATTCATTTTTATTCTTATTTCTTGTTTATCTAAATCCCATTTACTATCTAAGAATAGATAAATATATGATAGATTGTGTATAATTCTTAGATTATTTTATATAAATACTTAAGTTTCCCTAATTATATCAAAAACACATTTAAACACTATCCGGAAATGTGAATACAAAATTCTAACATAATTTAATTAACAATTGTAATACATTAAATTAATTAAGAGTTATTTATAAATAAGGTGATATATGTGATTTTGTATCTGTTTTAAAAAGTAAAAATTACAAATATTCTCTCAAATAAATACGAAAGCCAAAAAGTTAAAGGTAATGTTCTCTCCAAAACAACATTCTTTTATTTCTAAAACAATTTATATCAAAGTTTATGATTAATTAATAAATCTATTTTGGAAGATGGATTATATCTAAATAAATATATCTTAATAGGCTATATTATTCAGACAAAATATTCACTATACATTTAATCAATTATTAGTATGATATCCAGCTTATATCTTACTATTAAATAGCTGATTTAATATCAAAGTAGAATATTTTAGAATCCACTCCAGTTGTTAAAAAATTATTTAATAATATCAAAATCTTTTATATCTTTTAAAATTAAATAACCTTTATTCTATATGAATACTTTAGTTAAGAATATATTATATTACTATTCTATTGAAATAATCTTATGAAATGTATTTGAATTAATTGTTCTATTTATGTGAATACCATAAGTATATTTAATTTAATGATTTACACATAAATGTAGAATCCAAATAATAGTTACTAAACCAAATAAAATACACTTATGATTTTTGAAAAGATCATAGTTTTATTTATAATAAATAATATTGATTAATATTACTTAGATATATTAGAATTCTAAGAAATATAGATGTATATTATTTAAATTTTAGAATTTCTAATTATAAATTAAAATTTATAATATTAACAGTTAGTAAAATGTATTATCATTAAGTGTTGAATACAAATCAAAGTCAAGCATTTGTAAGTACAATAAATACTGAAAGAACAAGATGTCAAACTTAACATTATAAAGAGAATTCTAAATAATTTCTCTATTAATAACCAATTTAATAGCAATAGTAAAACTTGAATGAATAGTTATTAATATAAAATTAAAAGGTATTAAAATATAATGTATAATATTAGTTAAGTGATTAAAATATTAGATTATAAAATGAATGTAAGAGATTAGAATATCATTTGAATTTAATTTAACAGAATTTTTAGCAATTAAAATAATTGTATGATTAAGATTAATTGGAAATGCAACGTTTTACATATTTTTGTCATTAATAATAATAAGAACATAATTCAATGTAAACAAGAATATTAGATTTGGAATAAGAGAACTTTTAACTTCATCATGAAATAGATCATTATAAGAAAAATTTAAAGGATTAAGAATTTATGGAGAATTAAAGAAGAGAAATTATGATTGGTTAATAGAAATTGATAGAACTTTAAGAAGAAATGAAAAAAGAAGTAGAATAAATAAGACATGATCCTTTAATAGAAATCTTAGAATCTTGGAGAGATCGAGCCTTAAAATCATGCACCTATAGTAGTTAATAAAAACCAATTAATAAATTAAATACAACAAAAGAAAAATATTAGAAATTGAGCAGATTAACAATGCAAGCAGCTGAATTATTAAGTTTTAAATTAAATTATAAATGATAATTTATTATCAAACAAATCAAATTTATTCTATAATATTTTATTCATTTATAATCCATTCAAAAATTTAATATGTTTTATTCATATGTACAAAATGATTTAAATTAAATTTATTAAAAAAGAGTAATATTGTTATATTTTTAGATAAATTAAAAATATACAAAGAGATATAATAACATAATGAAAAATATTGGGAAATTGTAGAAATAAAAGTAGATAAATAGATTAAAACTAATTATTAATTGCTAAAATTAAATAATATATTCAAAATTTAATGATTATATGGATTAAGCATTACAAAAAAGTATAGTAAATTGTAAAACCAAAATATATATTTAAATGTAATGAGTAAATATTGTAAAAAAAAAGATATATTTATAAATAGATTTCGTATTTGATTATAAATTTAATTTATATATTATATTTATTATTTACAATATATTGTATTTATATTTTTAAATGATAATCTTCATTAATATATTAGAATTTATGATTTCAATTTTTAAATTTAGGTATATTATATAAATAATTGTTGTTAGTAGTTTGAGAACTCTCACTTTACTTAATTATTTTAAACTTCCATTTCCCTATATTTAATATATAAATTTAAAAAAATTAGAAACCATTTATGAAAATTGATTAAAAGATTTATATAAAATGTAAAGTAAAAAATTCATTTCTATTTATTTATGTAATGACCTATATGATATTTATATATTTAAATATAGATTAAGTTCTAGTATTTTAGGAATTAATTAAGTTGTTTTATTTGATATATGTCTTTGATTGTTAGAAATATATTAAGCATAAGGGAAGAATGGAGATAACTTTTGAAGAAGAAAATTAAAAAAACCAAAAGAAAGAATTAATATACTATACCATATAAGTTTGATGATGATACTTAGAATACTAAATAAAAAAATGATTCTTTGCTAATTGTTTAAAATATTCCAACAACCATTCCAAATAATAATGTTTTTAGACTCAAAACTAACATTCAGTTTTCTTTATAAATAAACAAGGATTATTCATTAGGTTCATTATTTGTGGATCCTCATTCTAACAATTACAAAATTGCAAGAATAGATAAAAGGAAAAATCTGATAATACTAACATTAGATTAAATAGATAGACCAATCACTCCACCAGAAGTTCTGTATTCTATATTTAAAGATAGAAATACTTAATTAGCTTAAACATTTATGTAATATAATAATAGAAACCTTGAACCAACTAAATGCAAATTCTATAAAATATAAGAAATGATAGATTTTGAATAAAAGATTTAAGGATAACCATATGCAGTTTATGTAAATATTTATAAAGATGGTATATGGAAAACATTTTAAAAGATTTTTAGTTAAGAATTACTACAGATTTTAGCTATATCAGAAGAGATGCTTTTTCATTATTGTAAAGAAACTTAATTAATGCCTATTAGTGCATATTATGATAAAAATGATGAATAATTGAAGGTATTTTATAAGACATTCAAAGGGATTGTTGGTTAATAATCAATAAAAAGAGAATATATAAATTACAATGGAGAGCAATTTACTGCATCTCTTATTGTTTAATGTTTCTTTATTTATGATGAAGAAAAAGATTTGATTTTTGATTATACATACTTTGTAACAGATTGTGATAAAAAATGGTTATCTTAAGAGAGAGTCAAATAAAATGAACTGGATTATTTTAATATTAAACCTAATTCTTGTTAAATTGAAGAATCTCTTGATTAAGAGCCACTAAAAAGATGTGGATTTAAAATATTGAATCAGAAATGATAATATTTTTAATTATTAATCAGCTATTATATTTTTATAGTTTAGTAAATAAAACTAAAATTTATTAATAATATTATTTTAATTTTTTACTAAATAAAAATATTTATTGAATATCACATAGATTATTAAACTCAGTATTTTGGCACCAGTTACTTTTTCATCATAAATATCTAATTTATTTTAATTAAATTGATACTTATATTATTACAGAGGATATAAAACTAATTATATTTAAATATTATTATTATAAAAATGATAATAATAATAAGATAATCAAACAATAAAAGGATTTAATTTTAATTCAAATATCTTATATCAGTAATATATATAAAATCATTTAATTTAATTAATTGATTATATAAATATAACTGATATAAATAAATATTTAAGAATTTCTATTTAATAAAGAATAAATTTAAGCTAACTTACTTTTAACATGATACTAAATTTTAAATCATTAATCATCATTAACTTCCTCTTCTGGATTATTCCATAATGTTAAATTATCTCTTAATAATTACATGATTAAGGTGCAATCCTTATAGTTTTCTTCATTTACAGAATCTACTTGTGCAATTGCTTATTCAAAAGCATCATTAGCTATTCTTATAGCTTCTGATGCATTCTATAATATTTCATAATAAAACACAGATTAATTTAGACTTAAACCTAATCTAATAGGAGATGTAGTAGATAAATTAGATTTGGCCAAAATATCAGCATCTCTTATAATTAATAGATTTATTACTTATAAGCTTGAGTAGCTTAATCAACAGCTGCATGATATTCATTATCTAATAAAAATTCAGCAAGATATCTATTATAATCTCCTTTCATTTTTAAATAGAAAACTTTACTATCAACTTATTTAGAATTAGGATATAAGGTATTATCAATTAAATTCAAAATTTCAGCACAACTATTTTTCAATTCTGCTTCAATTTTATGTTTATAATTTCTTATATAATTCAAAGTATATTAATCAGTTTATTTTCTTGATTCTTTTTATTCAATAGCAGTCAAAACTCTTAATTCAGCTCTTTTATTACCAACCTTTGATAAAGTAATAAATTAGATTACCACATTTTTGTATGCAGCTGATAATATACTTCTCTCTTCTTTATTAAGTTCTTAATCAAGGAAATGTTTAATGAATTCTATCATATCATTAAATCTTTCAGTTTATTAAGCAATTCTAGCCAAAAATAGAAATTCTTCTCTTGTAAATTTATTCATAATATTTAATTTAATTTATTTTTATTAGATTACTATATAGTTATTACATAAAATTATAAGATTTATTGAATTTATATAGAATTACAAGAAAGCTATAATAAGATAAATGAAAATTTTATAAGTTTATAATTTATTTATATAAAAATGGCATCACCTGTTCTTAATAAAGTGAGAGAAAGATTATTCTTTTTGTCTCCAACAGTATAAGCAGGTTGGGAACCTGAATCGAAGAGGGAAGATTTCGAAGAGTAAAAAATACTTGGTTAGGGTACAGTTATTTATGATATTTGAATAGGGGCATTTGGAGTTGTAAAGAAAGTAACACACAAGAAAACTAATATTGTTTATGCAATCAAGATAGTAGAGAAGGCTATGCTTAAGAAAACTAATATGGTTGAATAAATGTAGAATGAAGTAAAAATAATGTATTCTCTCAATCATCCATATATATTGAAGTTGTACAATCATTTTGAAGATGACATTAATGTATATTTGATTTTAGAATTTGTTGGAGGAGTAATACTTATTATTAATTATAGGGATAATTATATGCAGTGTTGTGGAGATAGCCATAAAAAAAATTTGATGAAAAAACATCTGCCAAATTTATATTATAAGGATGTCTTGCTTTAGAAAACATTCATTCAAAAAATATTGTTCATAGAGATATTAAACCAGAAAATTTATTGTTAGATGAAAAATAAGATATTAAATTGGCTGATTTTGGTTGGTCTAATTTCTTGAAACCAAATGAAATTAGATAAACATTTTGTGGTACATTAGACTATTTGGCTCCAGAAATGTTAGAAAAATCTAGACAACATGATCATTAAGTAGATATTTGGGCTATAGGTGTTCTTTGTTTTGAATTATTAACTGGTTTAAGTCCATTTGCTCCACAAATTAATATTAATAATTAAACTTTTGTTGAAAAAACAACTAAAGACAATATAGTAAATTTAAGATTTTAGTTTCCTCCTACATTTCCACCATTAGCATAAGATCTTATTAAGAAAATCTTAGTCAAAGAACCAGGAAAAAGATTTACTTGTTAATAGATTAAAGAGCATTAATGGATTGTGTGTAATAATCATTATAATTAATTAATAGAAAATACATAACATGTTAAAATACCAACATCTTTGACTGTCTAATAAGAAAAAAAAATAATTAAAAATCCTGAAATCGAAAGTTTACAAAAAGATGGAAAATTGGCATTTACCAATGACTAAATCTATAGTTTTTCTAGACCAGATTCTGTATAATCAAATTTATTAATATCAGATCATTGTCAAAGATTTTTTGCAAGGAGATAACACAAATACGAAGTTAGTTGAGGCTTTGAATAATAAAATGAAAGAAAAAGATACCAAAATTTAAGCTTTAGAAATAGAAAACTAAAAAAAATAATAGGAAATTAATGAACATTTATCAACTATAGAATTAATGAAAAAATCTGGATAAGCCAGTTAAGAAATTTAATCTATGCAACATAAATTAAAATTATAAGATGAGAGATATGCATTCATGAAATAATAATATGAATAACAATTATAAAAAAATATAGAATTAGAAAAAAAAATAAGAGAACTTGAATCATAAGTATATAATTTAATTTATTAAATAAGAGCAATTAAATAGAATAAATGAAAGCTAAAATGAATAAATATAAAGAAGAAGCTGAATCATTCAAAGCTAGGGCTAAAAAAGCAGAAGAACAAGTTTAATAAATGGTTATATCTGGAATTAACGAAAAGGTTAAATTATATATTTATTAGTAGGAATTCCAAGAAGCACCTAAATAATAAGAGTAAGCATCTAATGTTGATGATCTTTTAAAGAAATTATAAAATAAATATGATCCAAAATCATGAGTTATTCAAAACATCATTATTCAACACATCAATATTTATTTTCATCCAATTTTTAATCTTTCTTTTTATAAAATATAATTATTAATTGTAAGACATTTATTAATAATAAAATAAGCAATTTATTAAATGAAATTGATTTAAATTATGTATTAATAAAATTCTTAATGAAAATCAAAAATATTTTATATTTATTTCTCTTTAAGATATAAATGTATAATAATAAATGAATAATTATTCTTAATATTTAATTGATATATATATATATATATTTTATTTTATTAAATTAAAAGAAAAGTTAAATGAATTATGATTATATGGGTGCGATAAAAGTGAAGGATGGTGTATTTTTAGGTGATTAATTTGCATCTTAGGTATATTTTTCAATTTTATCAGGATCTTGAATTTATTGTCACAAATAAAGTATCAAGAATTATGAATTGTGCATCAAAATAGATACCAAATCATTGGGAATCAATAGGGATTGTATATATGTCATTTCCTTGGTTAGATAATGATCAATAAGTATTTGAATATATATATTTTTAGATTATTTTTTAATCAGATGAAACTATAAATATTGCAATAAAATTCATTGATGATGCTTTGATTAATGAGGAAAGTGTGATTGTTCTTTCAGTAAAAGGACACAATAGATCTGTAGCAGTTTTATGTGTTTATTTAATGAAGAAATATAGATGGACTCTTTATAAAACTTTATAATTTATGCATAATCGAAGACCTGATTTAGAAATTAAGGCTCATTTTTTTAATTAACTATTATCAATAGAAACTCGATTATAAAAATAAGGTTATGGAGCAAAGACATTTAATTGGGATGAAATATATACTTAGGGAGAGAATGATGAAATATTATTAAGGAACACTTATATAAATTCTTAAGCTTAGGGTATAGCAGAATTTAAGGATCGAGATTCTAAGCCAAAAGAATACAAGTTATTTATTATATTTAATTAGATTGAAATTTGCTGATAAAATTACAATGTATATACCTCCTTATGATAAAATAATATTCTCAAAATGTAAAAGTACTTCTAAAGTTATTAAACCAATTATAAAAGAGTCTGGTTCTTCGAAATAAATAGACACAAAATTTTAATTACCATAAAAGTAACAATAATAAAAAATAAATTACGAATAGAATTCAAATATTTATGATTAATAAACTTAAACTTAGAAACTAAATTAAACTGATCAAAAAAAATAAAGTCCTTTATAAATATCTCCTATTTAACCTTAAAGACCTTCATCTGTATAATAAATATGTAAATTTATTGAAATAATTTAGAATAACAAAAAGTTTAATCAAATAATTTCATGGATTCAAGAGATCAGTTTTATTAAAAGTCATAATAATAAAATTAATTTGCATATACTGGAACTCGTAGACCTTAAACAGCTCCAAATTAGTTAAAAGCCCCCAGAGTTTAAACAACACCATATAAAGGAAATACAAGTTAAGGTTAGAGATATGAAGTAGGTCAATAACCTAATTCTTAATTTAAACCTATGAAATAGATGAAATAGAGAGCATAATCACCTAAAGCAGTTTATAATGTTTCAAATCCGTATATATAAAGAGAGTTCAAGGCTAAGACTTTGAAAAAATGAGTTAAAAGCTTCATCTTTTTAATTATTATAAATTAATTGATATTCTAAATATAATAAACTAAATATTTCTAGATTAAAAATAAAAATAAAATTATGAATCTAATAAAATGCTATTCTCATAATAACTATTATCTAAAATTAAATTAACCTTTATCCTACATATTAAGATGATTCAGATTTAATTAATAAGTTTAGTAATAATTAAATTATAAAAAACAATAATAATTCAAAAATAAGATCTTTATTGTTTTATAAAAATTTTGTATTAATTAGATTACAAAAGATAACTGAATGACATCTTAAAAATAGTAGCAAATAGATTTGTTCATTAATTTATCCAAGAAATCCTAAGAAAAATATTTATTTAATAATGTCTTTTGGGCTTATTTTTGTTATTTATCTATTAAATATTAACAATATTACTAATTTACATATAATTAATATATAATATTTTCTAGAAATATAAAATAGCTATTAGGTGATTACTCTTGATTTAAAAGATAAGATATTAAAGTAGTATGATTTAAATATATACTGTATATTGAAAATTAGATATAAAGAAAATCTAGATTAATTTATTAACATAAGCAGGGTGGCGAAGTGGAATCGCGTTGGGCTCATAACTCAAAGGTCGGTGGATCGAAACCACTCTCTGCTATATTTTTTATTTTATTTAATTAAATTGTTAATAAGAGACAATAGAAACATAAATTCTTTATTAATTTTATATATATTCTTTAATATTTTTTGAATCAATTTTAGGCAGATTTCCAAATATATAATTCTCCATTTTATTATCCTGTACATAATAATTAATGGTTATTGGACAGATAAAAATTAGGATAATAATCTTGTTAAATATTAAAAATTTGTTATTGTTATTCTGATGGTATATTCCAAATTCGAATATCTTTAGTTGAAGATGATATAATTAGATTAGAATGATTAGAGAATTAAACATTCCAAACAAAAGATGTATGTCCTATGAATTCTAATATAGGTTCCCAATTTTACACTTTCCATAATTTGACAATACCATCCTCTCCTCCTGTAACCATATATTTTAAATCTTTTGAGAATTGAATGCAATTGCATGTAGTTTTGTGAGGTTATACTTAATGAACAATTGAAAAATTGTTTTAGATATTCCAAATAATAAGTTGTTTATCTAGAGCAGATGTAGCCATAAATTTACAATTGCTAGAAATAGCTATTCCTTTAACTGAACTTTTGTGATGTTTTAATATTCGTGATGGTTCAGGTTTAGTCTCATGCCAAATAATCACTTAATGATCTTAACTAATTGATACTAATTATGAAGATTATGGTACAAATTTGATTCTTTCAACTATTTTAGTATGATATTTTAATCTAAATACTGGTTCTTTTGTATCATTTATATTCCAAATTCTAATAATATAATCATTTGACCCACAAGCAGCAATGTGTTATCCATCATCTGAAATATCAACACAAAAAGCATAATCAAAATTATCACTTATTTAACATATTTCTATATGAGTAGATGTATCCCAAATTTTCAATTTACCTTCACTACTTGCAGTTATAACTTTAGTACAATCAGGAGTTATTATTACTGAATTTATTGCAAAATCATGTGCTGGAATTATAACAGGAGTTGATTTAAATAATAATTTATAATCTGGAACAGTATTTTCCTAAATAATTATTATTTAATCTATACATCTGCTTCTATTTATAGTACACGTTCATATATCTATTTTATTTATTATTTTGTTGATACCAATTATGTGAAAATTGGTTAAAATTATTCACTATAAAGTTAAGATTTATTAATATTTTTGAATTAAGAGTATAGAGTTAAATAACTTAAATTTTCTGATAAATCTTATAAATCGCTAAGTATAATATAATTTTAATTCATTATCTTTTTGATCAATTTTGTATGATCAAACTTTTCTTGTATTTCTATAATTTTTTATTCTAATTATTCTAAGTCTTAAATAATATCCTATTTCAATCTTTAAATAACTTTGATAACATTTGATTTCGTTATTTTCTCATATTCTGTAATATTTTTAACTAATTCTTCAATATCTTCTAGAGGTGTCCAATTAGGGTAAGTTGATTTATCTTTTTTACAAATCTCACATAAAACTCTATTTTTCATTGAGAATTTCTCTGTGATACACAAACTTGTTATTTCATTATTATGTTTTGAACATTTGACATCCTTAGATCTGAGTTTTAATGAATTAATCATAAACTAAATTATTTATTCCCAAAATATCAATTAAATATCTTCTTACTTTATTATTTATGTTATTCAATCATACAAAATATAATGAATATATTTAAAGAAATATATTGATTATTATTTGATTTTCAATTGTGAAAAATATGATATTTTTATTTTAATAAGATAATCATATTTATATTATTTCAATTTTTTTAAATAAAATCAATCAGGATATGATATTTTCACATTTCAATACATAAATATGTTACTCATATTTAAAGCTTTTCATTCTTGAATAGTCTCAAATAAACTACTTAATTCAATAAAATAAAATCAAAATCTAAATATAATTACAAAAATCTTATCATCCTAATATAATCATATTTTTTTTGTAATATTTTTATTTAAGATTCATATAGTTATAAACAATAAATCAAAATTATAAATTAGATTAAACATAAATATCAATTTTGATGATTTTTTTAAAGAAATAGTCTTTTCCTTTTTATCCATTTCATAATTAAGAATTTCTTTTCCAATTATGTACTTTGTGTAAGTAATTACAGCATAATTTAAATTTTATAGATTAAGATTATAAGTAATTAAAGTAAATTGGAGATACAAAGATATCTAGTTTGAATAATAAATTTATTTTTCAGTAATGATAATCTTGTTACATAACAATTTAATTGATAATCAATTACAAAAATTTTAAAAAATTTCTAGGAATAACTTATTACTAATAGATAAACATAGTTAATTAATTAAACCATATTAAATGATCAGCTTGTATCAAGTATACATAATAAATATTCAATATAAAGGGGATATTAATAATTAATGAAATAATTCTAGCATAAAAAATAAAATATAATCCAAAATAAAGAAGGTGCTAAATTTATACATAAAAAATATTAAATTATTATCACTTTTAAATTAATTATTTCAATAATATAAAATGTTTGTTTAAATCAATGAATAAAAAAATGAGAAAATTTTCATTAAATAAATTTAAGAAAGTTAGGTACTCTTTATTATTTGGATGTTATTTATTTTCTATAATTTAATATGGCTGTTCTAACTTGATGATTAACTTTTAAGTTGTTTTTATTGAGTTTATCATAAAAATTTTGGTACTTATCAGGATCGAAATAAGTATCCTTCAAATGAGGAGGTAAAACTGATGGAGAACGAAAATATGGATTATATATTCTAGGTTCTATCATTTGTTAAGGCTCATCATTTACAATTGCTTAAGCATTCAATAGTTTCTTTAAAACAAAATCAATTTCATTTCTTCTTTCATGCAACTATTATTATTATTGTTATTTTTGTTCTGGTTTTTTTGTTTAAGGCAATAATGTTGCATTTGATGAATTTCTACTTATAATACTTGTTTTGTATAGAATTTATTCTTAAACCTTCTCTAATAAATCTTGTGTACTAGAATAATGACGATCTGTTTAAATAGGTGGTATTTTCTACTTAATTTTTTTCAATTATTTTTCAATTGATTAATTTCTTGCAGATCTTATTTCAGTATAGTCAGGTGTTTAATCTTTGATTAGTTTAGGCATTGGTAAAAATAATAAATTGGAATTTTTACGATTAAACATTATAAATAATATTAAATATTAGTTTTTTGAAAAAGTCTCATAAGTTATATTGTTATTTTATTTGTAGTACTTCTTTTTCATTTGTGGCAATTAACAAATCAACTCTTTCTAAATATTCTAATTCATCTTATAATTTTTTGACAATTTATGAATGTTTTTTTTCACCTCTTTAAAGGAATTTTTATAGCTTTTCTTAAACATTTTCGAATTATTATTATTGAGCTTATGGAATTCTAGGAATAATTGGTCCTGGTTTATTTCTTAATGTATTCCAATTGATTGAATGTAAAAATGGATGTTTTTTAATTTAATCTATTGATTCATGACCAATCCTTTAATTGAAATCAGGATTCAATAATTATTTCAATAAATCAAAAACACATTCTGAAATTTAAGATTCTGGATCATCTCCAATATCTGGCCAATCTATTTTTCCTTCCAAAATATTAGAAAATATTTTGTCTACTGATTCATCATTAAAAGGTGGAATACCAACTAAAAATTCAAAAAGTATAACTCCTAAAGACCAATAATCAAGTGTTTTATTAGATGATGAAATTCCTTTAATAATTTCAGGAGCAATATAATCTGGAGTTCCAACAATTCTTCTTCTTTCTTCTTCAGATCCTTTATCATATTAACTATTATTTGATCTAGACTTTTTAAATGATGCTCCTCTTTAAATAATATATCCAGGAGAAGATGATAAATCTTATTTAAGAATATCTCTTTAACTAGCTTTTCTTTTGACCATCATTTTATTAAATCCCAATTCACTTAAACCAAAATCAGCTAATTTAATGTGTCCATTCTAATCTAATAAAATATTTTCTGGTTTTAAATCTCTATGAACTATATTATTACTATGTAAATATTCTAATGCCAATAGAATTTCAGCAAAATAATGTCTTGCAATATTTTCATCAAATGCCTAAATAATAATTAATGATTACTCCTTCAATCATTAAAATCTTTGCAAAATCTCCACCAACCATATATTCTTATACAAAACATAAAGAAGATTAATGTTAAAATGAATAAAATGCTTTTACAACATATTCTCCTGTTAATATTTCAAATATATTTCTTTCCTATTTTAATTATGTTAATAGTCTTTCAAATGGTCTATTTGAACAATTTATTATTTTCAATGCATAATGATCACCTGTTGCTATTCGTTTAACCAAAAATACTCCACCATAAGCACCTTATCCTATTTATCTTATAAATTAAAAATCTTTTAAACATATATTCCTTTCCTAATTTCTATTTTCAGCATCCAATTTAATTATTTCACTATCAGAAAAATAACCTTTTTAAGAAGCAAAAAAACAATCTTATTCAAATAATATCTATTCTGTTGACTCTATTGTTTTCATTTATTAATCTGAATTTTCTATGCTTATATCTAATTCACTTTCAGAACTTGCTGTTTATGCAAAACAACTTTTCTTCTTTGTTTAAAAATGACTTAGTTTCTCTTATTCAGATTCATCTTAATTCTTAATTGTTTGAGCAGACTATTATCTTTATAGAAACTAGCTTATTTTTCCACTTTTCTTTAGATTCCCCATGATTGACACTGATGATCTCGCTGGAGTAGAAGGTCTTGATCGTGTTCTTTTTTCAGATTCATTTGTTTCTTCGGTTAGACTGAAATGTGTCATTATTTTACTTACTTCAAACTGATATAATCCGAAAAGGAATTCAACCTATGAGAATCTCTAACAGAACTTGGACTATCCTTACTAAACTTACTTACTCTAAATGATATACTCCCAAAATTTTATATTTTTACTATTGAATACATAAGACATATTTTACATTTAAAACAATAATCCAACCTTTAATTTATCAAACTATTCATTTATTCAATTAAATCTAGAATACTTTAATCATCTATACTCATTTAGGCTGCCATTATCTCATTTTGAGTAATTAAATGATCTAAAATATCTATTTTTATACATTTAGCATCTAATTCTTGATTAACAACTTTCTCTCCATAACTTATTAATAGTAATAATATTCTATATTCTTAATAAACTTGTCTTGTATCCTCACAACATTATATACCTTCATTTTTACGCAGTCTCAATTCTTTCATGCTATATTCAATATATTTCAAACATTTACAATTTTAATCCTTGTCTCAAATGAATTTAATGTTTCTTCATATAAGCTTTCTCACATAAACGAGCAACTTATAAGTTTAGTTAAACTAATTTCTTTCTTTATTCAGCATTAAGCCTACAAGTTTAATTATGAATATCCATTAAATTAATGTTGATGCTTTCATTGCAAATACGACAAATTATCAAATATTCCATTAATAAAATTATTTAAATACGACACAATATCAAATTTTAATGTTATTATAACTTAATTTGGACATTTCAAATAATCCATAATATATTTTAAACTATACAATAGATTATTAATCATTATTATTAAAAAATTAATTAACAGAATCCAATTTATTATAACATTATATTTTTCCTCACTTTTCTTTTATTGACTCCCAAATAATTTAATCATCATTTTGTAAATTATAATATTGATACATTCATTTTTATTACTTTTTATTTTATTATTGTATTAAAAAATACTAAATAAATTATTACTATCTCTTTTCAAATATAATATTTTTATATATATTATATTTGAAAAGATTATTAAATTACATCAAAAAAGTGAAAAATAAGAGATATGAAATCAAAGATAAATGAAATTTTTATAATAAACTTAATATTATATGAGTAGGTCAATCAAAGTTCTTTTTTACTCTATTTACTAGTAATAAAGTCTTCACTTAATGAGTTATACGAATCTTTAGGTGTTTCATACTACTCATCAGGACTCTCATATAATTCAAGATTCTTAATTCCTGAAAATTTTTTTGTGTATATTTAACCCAGAGGCGATTCATTATCAAGTTAGGAAATGATTGCATCAAAATCAAACTATGTTTGAACTTTAAGATTTTCGAATTTTCTACTCATTTAATGTAAAATATTAAAAAAATAATTATTCTAAATTTTACGAATTTTCTTAACTTTTTATAACATAATTTTATGTTAAATCAGATAATATCATTTACATCATTATTAAATATAATGACCAAAATATTAAGTTCTCAGATTTAATATATATAAATATCTGAAAACTTAAAAAAAATAATTATATTTATAGAAACTAAATTTAAACATAGCTATTCGAAAATACATTATATAATTCTAAACTACTTCGTTTTTTTAATTAAAATTGATATTAGTGAGTAATTAATGAAATAATAAGATAATCCTTATGAATTCATTAAGTATTAAAAATATCAGAGAATCAAAATATAATACATTTTGATAGATGTTTTTTGAAATGACCTTCAGATTTCTTTTAAATCCAACATCATCATCCACAATATCATCAAAATCATTTACTATTGTGGATTTATCTCTTCCTCGAAAAGTCTTTACTCTATCTCTAAGTCCCTAAATTTAATATCTAGCTTTTTTGATACTACTATTAATTTTAGATAGTACCCAAGACAAACCTAAAATTATAAATGATTAATTTTAAGATATATTATTGATTAATGGTTTATAAAATTTTAAGCTTAATAAATTTTTTATTTATTGAGAAAATTAGAGATAATTTGAAAATAAATTGATCAAAAAACAAGTTAAAAATATTAGTTTAGTAATTTTATTATATATTTTCAATATCATAAATTGGTATTTAGTAGAGAAAGTTAAGGATATTTTAATTAGATAATNATATATTATATTTGAAAAGATTATTAAATTACATCAAAAAAGTGAAAAATAAGAGATATGAAATCAAAGATAAATGAAATTTTTATAATAAACTTAATATTATATGAGTAGGTCAATCAAAGTTCTTTTTTACTCTATTTACTAGTAATAAAGTCTTCACTTAATGAGTTATACGAATCTTTAGGTGTTTCATACTACTCATCAGGACTCTCATATAATTCAAGATTCTTAATTCCTGAAAATTTTTTTGTGTATATTTAACCCAGAGGCGATTCATTATCAAGTTAGGAAATGATTGCATCAAAATCAAACTATGTTTGAACTTTAAGATTTTCGAATTTTCTACTCATTTAATGTAAAATATTAAAAAAATAATTATTCTAAATTTTACGAATTTTCTTAACTTTTTATAACATAATTTTATGTTAAATCAGATAATATCATTTACATCATTATTAAATATAATGACCAAAATATTAAGTTCTCAGATTTAATATATATAAATATCTGAAAACTTAAAAAAAATAATTATATTTATAGAAACTAAATTTAAACATAGCTATTCGAAAATACATTATATAATTCTAAACTACTTCGTTTTTTTAATTAAAATTGATATTAGTGAGTAATTAATGAAATAATAAGATAATCCTTATGAATTCATTAAGTATTAAAAATATCAGAGAATCAAAATATAATACATTTTGATAGATGTTTTTTGAAATGACCTTCAGATTTCTTTTAAATCCAACATCATCATCCACAATATCATCAAAATCATTTACTATTGTGGATTTATCTCTTCCTCGAAAAGTCTTTACTCTATCTCTAAGTCCCTAAATTTAATATCTAGCTTTTTTGATACTACTATTAATTTTAGATAGTACCCAAGACAAACCTAAAATTATAAATGATTAATTTTAAGATATATTATTGATTAATGGTTTATAAAATTTTAAGCTTAATAAATTTTTTATTTATTGAGAAAATTAGAGATAATTTGAAAATAAATTGATCAAAAAACAAGTTAAAAATATTAGTTTAGTAATTTTATTATATATTTTCAATATCATAAATTGGTATTTAGTAGAGAAAGTTAAGGATATTTTAATTAGATAATGATTTTCAAGTTTATAGATGGTAATATTTTCATTAATTCATTCATCATCATCATCATCATCAACAATAAAATTATTTAATGATTCCTAAGAATCTTCATCTATTGATCTTTCTTCAACTAATTTTATTTTTTTAGTCACTTTTTTGCTTTATTTTTTTATTGGTTTATTTGTTTTCTTAGATTTCGAATCTAATACTATTTCTTCTTCTTTTTTATCTTATTCCTCTTCAATTTCTTTTTATGACTATTCTATTAATGGTGCTTCTTCTCCAATTACAGGATTGTAATTTTCACTCTAAAAATAAGATTAAATATATACTATATATCTTTCAGTATTGATTTATCTTTTGGATGCTTTTTCCTTGAAAATCAAATGTCTTTTATTATACATCTTGGTTAATTGTGTTTTAATTTGAGGATTAACAGTACTTAATAAATTATCCTTCAATGGATTGAATACTTAATCATGAAGATTCTCTTTCAATAAATCTGGATTAATACGATATTCTTCCATAATTTAAACTACATTCCAAACAGCTTCTTTATCATTTCTAACTATTTTTAATTCTAAAAATTATTTTATTAATTGGAATAAATATTTTGAATATAATTTGATATCTGATGTTAAATAAGTGATTGGAGCAAATCTATTTTTAATTTGATATCTTTCTCTTTTAATTTTATTTGCAGTTGAATTCTTTCCTAACCATTAAGGAAATTTAGGAAAGTCCATTTGTTCACCAACTATAGTAGAAGGATAAACACTAGATAAGAATCCAAAAGATGGCATTAAAGACCATTGTTATTATTTTCTAATTTTATTAGAAAATATATCTCCTTCAGCAATTAATTCTGCTGCTTTTGCAATATTATTAATATCCTAATGATTTGATAAAATGTAACTATCTTATATAATAAGAGGTATTAAGTCATAATCTAAGAAAAACATATCTAACATATCTCTGAGTGACATTTATTTTCTTTAATTTCTATTAAGTAAACTTACAGCAGCATTAAATGTATTAAAAACACAAACTTTATCTTTTTTGAATGAATTAGGTTAAAATATCTATGTTTATGATTATAATTTTTATAATTCTAACATATTAATACTTTATCTAATATCGCAATCAAAACATATTGCCATTTTTTCAAGGTCTTCAATATTCATATTTATATTTTCTTATTCACAAATATATTTTAATCTTTTTGCAACAGATTTTGCATCTGGTTTCTAAAATTTAATGCTATAACAATGTGTTAATAATGATTTCAATTTTTAGTTATCAATATCATTACAAATACAAACAATTGGAATTCTAGTTGATTTTATACATTCTATTAAAGCAGATATACCACCTCTATCTGATCCAGTCATCCCATCTACTTCATCCATTACAATTAAAAAGTTCTTATTTGGTCTAAATAAATTCATAAGCACACTGTTGTCAACTAAATCATTTAATACAGACCTCAAACTTCCTTTATTTCTCTTATCTGATGCATTATTTACTATTAATTTCAATCCTAAAGCTTCAGCTACCAATCTTACCATTGAAGTCTTACCTATTCCTGGAGGACCACTTATTATACATGCTTTAGACCTTAATTTATAATAAATATAAATACGTAATGTTTCCAACAGGTTAAAATCTTCCCATCTTTAATGGTATAAATTTCTTTTTAGATTTTTAATTTTGATCTATTTCAGAATTAGGATTCTAAAATTTATATATCCAATCATTTAATTAAGTTATACTTGATTTATTATCAACTAAATCTGATAATTATTATGGCATATATTTATCAACTAAACTCAGATTTTTATTTTGATCTTAATTTATATTTAACTACTACTCTTATTTTTTTGATCCTGATTACTTATATAACTTAGATAAACTTGAGTCTGGGAAGATCTCATCTATTCCAATACCTATTTTATCAAATAACCAATCATTTAGTTAATCTTCTCTTATAATCTTTATTCCCCTTTTTGTAGCTTCTTTGAATTTATTTCCTTCTTCTCCCTTTCTACCATCTTCTAATTTATCTCCCACAATTAAATAATTAGTTTTTCCAGAAACACTAGAAGGAACCTTTGCTCCATTATTTTTTAAAAACTATTCAAATTTATCTCTACTACAAACACTTAATACACCACTCAAAACTATACTTAATCCATTCAATAAATCTGGGTCATTTTTAAATTCAAACTATTTTTCTATTTCTATTTATTTTTTATTTTCTGATTTTTATACAATAGATTTTTGTTTTTCCCATTTTATATTAACAGCTCCTTTTTTTTTTTTAGTTTATTGTAATTATTCAATTTATATATCAAAACTTTATTTAATATCAGGTCCTAATTGTCTTGGAGATGTATTATTTTTATTTTTTTCTACTCCTATCTATTTTAATTGTTAAATTATTTCATTTCCATTATCTATTAAAGGAACTTATTTTTATCTATGAATTTAATGTTATTATGATTATACTTAAATTGACTAATTAACTTGTTATTTATTCTTATTTTATTCTTAAATTGTTTTCTCTATTTCAATTTATTCTTTAATATTAATATCATCAATATTAATGTCAATTGATCTATTTTTTATTGATTCCTTTTGTTTCAATTATGAATTTTATGAAGGATTAAGAGCAACACTTTTTCCAAAAAATTAAAATAAATTTGGCTAATTTTGCATCTTTTGACTGGATTGTTTCTTCTAAGATTATGCTGGAAATTACTATTTTATCTATTTAGATTATTTTTAGGCTGTAAAACCTTCAGTTATCTATGATTTCTATTTATTTCCTAAAGATTGTTAAGGTTATTTTGATTATTGTTCTTTTTATATTTGCTATTCATTTTTACTTTTGCCATCGTTTTTATTATTGTTAAGATTAGACTCTTCTTCAATATCTGATAGAACCTCTGTGTGATTTGATTTTTAATCAGGAGAATTACGAATTAATCTCTTTCGGGAATTGCTCATAATTTTATTAATAATTTATAATCATTCTTAAATTTCTTCATATTAATTGGTTTTTTTTTTACAGGATAACTTAATATTTAATTATAATAATTATTTTTGTATTTTAGCATAATCTTATATTATAGATGTAATTTAATTACTTTGATATTTCTTAATCATTATTTTTAAGTTATCAATTATTTTTTAATTATAGTTGATTGTGAATCCTATTACCCAGAAGCTGATGACGATGATTTATATCGATGATCTAAAATATTACTATTTTTATGAGATCTTATAGCTATCCATGTTTATAGATATTTATTAAATTAATTCTGATTTTAAAGAAAGCTTTCAATAAATTCAATATAAGGATATGAATATTATTTAAATTATCTTTTTAAATTAATAAACTAATCCAAAAGTGCATTTTATGAATTGAGAAATTCAAAAATTCAAAGATTTTAATAAATAGAAATGAATCATAAAAAATACTATAATTATTATAACTAATTTATATTATCTTAAAAATAATAAATAATAAAATGTTTTACACTTAAATTATAATGATATAATAACTCATATAAAAAATATTTACATCTTCAAATTAAGTCTTTTGGAATCCAATTTAAGTATTAACATTATTTAAATATATAATTATAATATCCTCAAATATAGAATATATTTTATATGAGCATTAACATGAACATGATCAAGTTATCCTTTGCTAATACATAAAGTAGTTTTATTAATTATTATCCTATATGTCAATGAGAATATAAATAAGTATTTATTATGATAAACAATTTAAAAATAATTATCTGATTTTTCAAGTTTGTTGAAGTTAATTGTTTTGAGAGAAGATCTATGATTAAATTCGATAATTTTAATATCGTCATTTAATTATAAATTTCTTTTAAAATCAATGTTAATAATTCATATATAATATTAATTCAATTTATTAAGATATTTTTTATTTAATAATAATGATTAATGTGTAGTATTTTGATATTTCCTGAAAACATCTTTATGTAATATTCATTATTTTAAATTCAAACTGATTTAAAGATTATAATGGGATGCACAGTATAGAAATAAAAGAATAAGAAACCAACTCTTGGATTATCAGTATTTATATTTTTAAATAAAGCTTAGATCTAAGAAACAGAAATACATTGTAAAGAATAGTTGTAAACTCCAGATACATTGGATATGTCGAGTCCTCGATAACAAAATATAATAGTATTAAAGAAACTTCTTGCTTCTTCAAGTTTGAATGTTGACCAAATCATTAAACCCCCTTTGAAAAAGAGCTCATATTCTAATTTGAGCAGAAGTAGAAGGTCATGAATAAATTGATTATAAAGATGTACATTGTTAATATACTATGATAATATTTATATTATATTTTGTCATAGATAAGTCAGGTTTTGTTTTAAAAAACGAATTAAAGATTTAGTAAAATAACTGAAGGGCAAAACCTGCATATTTATGTAGAGGTATATAGTAGAAATATATAAACTAATATTTCTTTATCGCAATTCTAATAAATCAAGTAATAAATTTACAAGTATTTAAAATCACATATCTGATAAGAAATATTAATGATAAAATTATTGAAGTAATTTTTATTAATAGGGAATACTTAAAAAATAAATTTAATAACTTCTTGTCCTATTATAAATAACTATATACTAAAAGCATCTATAGTCTTAAGTGAGGTATTAAATGTCAAAACTAAGAGGAAATAAAGAAATAATAAATTAGAGATATTATCATCATATTTCACAAAATTATGGAATGTATGTTTAGGATTAGTTGAAAATAAGATATTATTTTATTAGAAAATTCAAATTAAATATTACATAAAAAATTACCATGACAAAATCGAAAAGTATATTAATATTAGAATCAATAAATCGATATAAATATTTCATGTTTTTAACACTACTACTGAACTATAATTAATAAGATAAGAAGGAATCTAGAAACTATTTCAATGAGCTATAAAATAAAGTTTACACTCTTTATTAAAAGAAAAAATAAATTACTTTTATATCTTATATTCTTACATTTCTGAGATGTCAATCAAAATAACAATCTAGAATTTCACTTCTAAATAAAAGATGATATAGAAGAATTAAAAAAAATAATTCGGTTATTTGTGGATAACCTATTAGAATACTATAAAAGTATAAATATTAAATAATAATTTATACCTTTCTAGTATATTTAAAAAATAATATTAAAAAATGACTATTTTTGAATTAAGTAATTTGGAGAAAATATAAATAGGATAGATATTCTTTGAATGACTTGTAATTTATTTCTATTAATAATTATTAAATTTAATATACTTATACAATAATTTAATCAAAATGTTTTACAAAATCAAAAAGATAAATTGGATCATTCAATTATAATTTGATATATTAACTATAAATTAATCAGCATTATATAGAATGGATAACTAGTTTTAATAAAAGAAATTTGATTAAGAATTAAAGATGATAGATTGGTATGCTCTCTCTATAGATATAAAATATACTAATATTATAAAACATAAGAGTAATCATAAATTTAGATTTATTATTATATATTAATATTATCATTAATACTTTTTATTTAATAATTTTAATTATGAATTAATAAGAAAATGTGCTCTAAAATATTTCAACCAAATCCAAAGAATATAAAGAAGAGTGTCGACAACTCTTAGAAAGAATTGTGGCTCTATAACTCAAAGTATTCAAAGCTCCAGACTTATATGTGAAAGAAGTTTTAAATGTTGTTGAATAATATAAATAAGTATGTACTTTATCAATTTCTTTAGTAATTTGAATTGGTTAAATAAAATCCAGGTTAAAATAATGGCAAATTTAGTATTATTGCTTAATTTCTATCAAAAGTTGCTGTTTATTTTAAGACAGACATGAAATTTTATATTGAAGATTTAATGGAACTAATAAACCATTTCTAAAATACTTTGAATTAAGGTTTAAGAAAGAAAATTATCTTTTGTTTATTAAGATTAAGAGGCAAAAATTTAATTGAACCTTATAGAATGATTGTATTTTTGATGAAATTATTTAATTGTTAAGATAAGGATTTAAGAAGAATTATTTTTAGATTTATTATTAAAGACATAAAATAATTTAATAAGAAACATAAGAATGAAACTTTAAATAAATAAATTTAAGTATAATTATACGTAAATATCCTTAGAATTTTATTATTGATTTAATTAAAAAATCATAAGAAAATATTGCTAAACGAGCAATTTAAATAATGATTGAACTATATAAAAAAAATATTTGGAAAGATAACAAATGTGTAAATATAATTGCATAAGGTTGTTTTAATTAAAATTACAAAATTAAATTATTGGCTTGTTATTTCTTAATACAAACAACAGAAACTCATGTAGAAATAGAGTCATCAGAGGATGAAACAGATAAATATATTTAAAAAAAAGGAAAAAATAAATGTGTTAAACCAACTAAAGCTAGAGAACATAGAGTAGAAAGAGAAAAGAAAATGGCAGATAAAAAATAAAGAAAGAAATTATCAAAATTGAATAGTAGTGGAGGATTCTTTGCTTTAGATCAAATTTATTCTCCCTAAGATTTTGCTGAAAGATTATTTGATAATTTAAAAAAACATGAGAGTGAAAAATTCTCTGTCAAATTAGCTATGATGCATCTTATATCAAGATTAATTCATAGACACAAATTACAAATAATACCTTTTTATACTTATATATAAAAGCATTTATATCCAAATAGTAAGGATGTTGGAAAATTATTCGCTTATCTAGCAGAAGCTATACATGATTAAATTCCAAAGGAAGACTTATAACCAACTATTAGACATTTAATTGATTAATTTGTGAATGATAGATGTTAAGAATTAACTTTAACTATGGGTTTAAGAGGAATATATGAAATATTATAAAAACATCCAAAGATTTTAGATAAAGACAATATTACTTATTTAATTCATTATATTAAATATAAAAATAGAAATGTCAGTTAGGCTGCAAGATCAATATTGAATCATTTTAAAGATACAAATCCTTAATTATTAGATAAAAGATTAAGAGGTAATAAATGGAAGAGTACAGAAGAATTGGATGGAGATTTTGATGATAATTTTATATAATAAATAACAATAGGGATAGATGGAGCAGAATTATTATAATAAGAAGAAGAAGAAAGATTGAATAAGAAATTTGATACTCCTATATATTGTGATAGAATATTGACAGATGAAGATTTTAAAAGAATTAGAGCATTAAAAAGAAAGAAAGAAGCTGAAATAGAATAAAATAAACTTTAAGAAAAATAATAAAAACATTAATATATTGAATAAGAAGAAGATAATGATGAAGATTTTGTTGAGGATGAAGATGATAATGTTGATGATGATATTTCAGAAATTAGTGGAGATAGTGCAGAATTAGATGATGAAAATGAAGAATGGGAAGATGAAAGTATTGATGATGAAGATATTGATGATGATGATATTAAACCTGATAGTAAAATTACAAAAGAATAAAATAAAAAAAGGAGATAATCATTATCAGATTTAGAAGAAGATTCAGTTTAAGAGTATTATTCTGATGAAAGTTAAATGTCAGATGAAAATCCTCATGGTTATGTAAGAGAAGAAGATTTAATGAGATATAGAAAAACTAAATCAGAATAAAAACATGAAAAGTTAGAAGAATTGAAAAATGGAACTAAAGAAAAATGGTATTAAATTTATTTAATTTTATAGGTATTAAGGTCCTAACAAAAAGAAATCAGAATTTGCATCAACTTCAAATAAAGAAAAATAAAAGAATAAACCATTATAAATGATGAGAGCCAAGAGAGTTGAATAAAAGAATAAAGAATCAAGAATTAAGAGCAAAATAAAGGATTTAAAAAATAAATTAGGACATGTTAGAAGTGGAAAACAAGCTTAAAGATTAAAAAAATAGAAAATTAAATGATTTAATGTATATAAAATAATTTATTATATTATTTCAATTATATAAATTTTGATTTAGTAATTATAGAATTTAAGTTAGTATTATTTTAAATAAACGATTTATTATGTTAATAATATATGACATATCACTAGATAATAATTTTAAATGTATTTTAGGTAAGGTCAATGTAATTTTTCAATTTATTCTGAAAGGTTATTTACAAGAGATGATCTTATAGATAATCAAATGAATTAATTGCATTCTTTTAATTAAAGCTTGGGAAATAGTGTTTTTTATTAATAAAATAATAATAATACTGATTGATTGCGATAACATTTTTATAATAATTTATCATAATTTTCTTAATTATGAAAAAAATGGAACCAAAACAATTAGATTAATCTTCCTCCTTAAATTGTATGTTTAGTGAAGATGAATTTGAAAATATAGATGAGATTTTGGTAATTAATAAAATTAAGATGTGTAATATAGTCTTAGAATGATAGTCCAATAAAATGTCCTTCAATAAGTAACAATTCTGAGGAAAAATTAAATTTTATGGTAATTGAAGTATAAAGTGAATATACTATAATAAATTTAAGATCATCAATAAAGAATTAATTAAAGACACAAGAATACTGTACAATTAGCATTAGATGTTAACTCTGTAAATCAATAGATTTAAAAAAATGCTCGTAAAGCCCATTCAAAAGAATTTTTAAAGGAATTGGTCTCAAAGCAAAAAAATAGATTTTAATTGGATGGATTCAATTTAGATTTAACATGTAATCATTCTTTATTATAAATGATATTACACCTTAAATAATTGCAATGGGATATCCAGCAGATAATTTTGAATCTTTGTATAGAAATTCATTGGATGAGGTTTAAAGATTTCTTAATACAAGACATCCAGAAAAGTATAAGGTTTTTAATTTGTAATAAAGATAATTAAAATTATAAGGTGTTCAGAAAGACAATATAGGCATGATTTATTTTATAAAGTAGTAGAATTTCCATTTGAGGATCATTAACCACCTCCATTTGAAATGATATTGCCATTTTGTTTGACGGTGTCTAAATGGTTAAAGAAAAAAGATCGAGTTGCAGCAGTGCATTGTAAAGCAGGTAAAGGTAGAACAGGAATGATGATAAGTTGCTATTTACTTTTCTCGAAACAATATGATTCATCAAAAGACGTTTTAAAATATTATGCAATGATTAGAACATAGAATTAAGAAGGAGTAACAATACCCAGTTAAGCAAGATATGTTGATTATTTTAATATTGCTCTAAAAATGAATTTATTGTATATTCCAGCAAGAACAGTTGAATTAATAGAAGTACGTTTAGTTGGATTACCAAATTTTGGAATTTTCGGAGGATGCTGTAAGAATATAAATTATTAATATTAGAGCCTTTTATAAGAATATAGAATTAAAATAAATAATTAATATAATAGCCAACACTGTTAACTAATTAAGATTAACATAAATAGTATAGTGCAATATTCAAATTTTAAGGAGTCTACTTAAATGGTGATGTTGTAATATAATTTTTTCATAAATCAATTGTTTTGTAAATATTTAATTAAAAGAGAATAGAGAAGAGAAAATGTTTTAGTTATGGTTTCATACATCATTTGTGATGATGAGTCCATAAATCTAAAGTTACAGTCGGGATGAATTGGATGGAACTCGTAAAGATAAATAATATAATAAATTTCCTTTGAATTTTGGTTTAGAAATTCTATTTGATAAAGTTGCGGCTATTCGTAGAAGATCAGATTGTATAAAATGAAAATATATACTAAAATATCATTGTAGAAATAATTTCTCATATTCTAATCTATAATTATCGTATAAAGCCATGCTTTCATTATCATCATTATCATCCTGAATTTATAATTTCCAACAACCATTACAATTATCATATGTAAAAAACATAGCTTCATTTTCTATTACTTAAATTCCTTTAGGAATATATTCTCTTTAAGGGAACGATACTCTTACATGTTGAATATGATCGATTAATTATTTGACAATAGTTCCTGTTGCTAAAGAGATTATGTAGATTCCTTAAGGTAAATGAACAAACAAATAGCTTACCATAAAAGGATAATAATTATCAACAATATCAAATTCAACTCTATCTGTTGATGCTTCTATAAATGGCCTTAATTTCTTAAGTTTGAAATTCTGTGTATTGATAGCCAAGAATTCGATTTAGAATATGTCTGGATTGATAATATGTGGTTTTATTATTTCTAGATATATGTATTTATTGACTAAAGAGGGTTTAGCTAATGCTATAAATCCTTCACTTTCTGTAGCCTTATAATCTTAGGTGTATCCTTCGATCATCTATTTAGTAGCTATAATAATTATATAATATTAAATATAATACCATGATTCACTCTAATAATTTCAAAAATTTCAGTATCTCCATCTTAAGGAAGTTCATTGTAACAAATAATTAATTCATTAACTCCATCCTTTAAAGGTTTTTCTGATAATTTAATCCATTCATCTGGACTATTAAATAGTTCTGCATACTTTTGATATCCCTCTTAAACTTCATTTTCAGTATTATCATCTGGAAAATACTTTTTTCTTTCTGTGTTATCTGGTGTAAATTGAGTTTCTGTCATTTAGATTTTGTATTTTGATTTTGGTCTAAACGATCTTTTTCTCAAATCATAATATCCTGTATCATATTCCCATAAATTTACATATCCTCCTTTATCAATCGTTAATATTTTTTCTGGTTCTTCTAAGAATCCAATATAAACGATCTCTTATCTATGATTTTCAAAGAACTCTCTGAAAACATGAGGATTTTTGCCTTCATGTTCTTCTTATATTTGAAGATTTAGAAAGTTTTCATTGGGGAATTATTCATCTTCGTTGACAATGATTCTAGTATTCAAAATATTATGAATGGGAAATTTGTAATTTTGCCCATTAAACATATCAACATTACTATTATATTTCATTATAGTTCCATTATTACTTCCAACCATTAAAGTAGGCTATAAACAAGAAAATGTTATTGATGGATGAAATATACTATATGTTAATATTTGTTTCTTCTCTTCCTATTTCTTATTTCTTAACAAGTAATCATTATTTAAAGTGAAATATTAGACATAGAACATTGGTTGATAGCCTTCTGGTAAAGATTCAATTCCTTTTAATTACTCTTTTGGAATATTAACTTTTAAGTTATATCCCATATAGCATACTCTAATTAACCCAGATTCATCCAAAATTAATAAATGTCCAACATTATCCATTCCAAATTGTACATCCGTAATTTTAGATTTTGTGAATGATGGAACTATTCCACTAATTATGGCAGGACCTGAAGAAGTGTCATATAAAGCTACCTCTCCATTTGACATCCCTATTATTAACATATCTTTAAAAGGTGACAATACAATATGAGTGATACTAGCTTTGATATTACTATAATGGTTTTTAAAAGCTTAATTAACAAATGACACTTTTTCCCAATATTAAATCTCATAAGCCTTGATCTTCTCCAACCCCAAAGTTGGTACACACTGAAATTCTTCAGGATCAAGGATATTAATATCAGATTCATCTATTTCTTCATCTTATTGAACTTCCTTTTTGTCTTCTTCTTTATCTAATTATTTCAATTATTTCTTCTCCCTCATAATTTTTAATAATTCATCAGTATTATAATTTTTCTTTCCCTTCTTTACTTTATTCCATTAAATTTCATTTTTATTCTTGAAATTAAACTTCAAATCAGTTATGTTTTTCTCCATATTTTCTCCTCTTAAATCATAATACAATTTCTTTATTTAATCAATAGGATTAGTTGTATTCCTTTCAAATTTAACTGAATTTACAATAATGTTCAAAGCCACTGATTATGCTAATAGATTGACAATAGCTATTTCATTAGCTGCTTCTCTTTATACTTTTCTCATAACTCTTGCAAAAATCTTGTCCGCTTCTTCTTCTAAAAATTCTCTATCAATAAGATAATTCTATGTTCTCTTTAGATTTTTCCCCTTTTAATTATAATCTTTTCGTTATTATTTGAGCATATGCATACGATTCTCTCTCTCCAAGATTTTTCGTAATGTATTATCAACAACATAATCCACTATCTTTCTACATATGAATAGAGATTCAGCATTTCTCTAAATTTAATAAAATTTCTTATACCGTATTAAGGTATTGTTTTATTTCTCCATTATATGGTCTATCTTAAACTTCAATATTGTATTACTCATCCTTTATTTAAGCTATTCTTTTAACACCATCTTATAAAAATCTTTAATCATCTCAAAATGTACCTTTTATTCTTCTTGGCGATATTATTTAAATTATAATTCAATCTATATTCGTCTAACTTCTCTTCATCCATTATAATATTCTTTTTCAGAATTTCTAATGGAGGTGCATTTCCCAATTCAATCTAAGTTAAAAAGTCCAATCCCTTCTTTTACAATTCCTTATGTAAGGCCTTTTCTTTTAATATCCTTTCTTATTGTTCATTCAATTCAAATTTCTTTGCATTTATATCTCTAAGTTTTTCAGCTGTTTCTAATTTCTTTTTTTCCTTCTCTTATTGAACTTTTTATTAAACCTCCTCATAAATACGATCTCTTTGCCTTTGTTCTTCTTCTCTATCATCCAATATTGCATTCGATAATAAAATCTTATCTCTCTCATTTATCAACTATTAAGGTATTCCTTTCCTATTTAATGCATTTTCTAACATTTTCTTAGAATTTATATCCTTCTTCTCTGCCACTTCTCTTATTGCTGCCAATTCTAATTATATTCTTTCATATTCTTCATTCTTTTTCTTTTATGCCTCAATCAATTTTTCCATCTCTATCTTCTTTCTCACTATTTTTTCTACATCGAATTCCTTTGCTAATAAAAATTACTCTTTCAATTTATCAACTTCATCTTTATAATCTTATTCTATTCTTCTCTTAAGAGCTATCAATTTATGTTTCTCTTCATATTCATCAAAGGTTGGCTTATTAATTAATTCCTCTAATTTTGTTGCTAATCTCTTTTGTTCTTCTTCTATTTTTTATAATTTCCTTTTTTAAATCACTTATTCTTAAAATTCTGCCTCTTATTTCATTTACTACCATTATTTATTTAAATTCTAAGCCTTCATTAATTCTTCATAATCAGCATTCAGCTCCTCCTCTTACGGAACTTAATATAATTACTATTTAATATCCTTTTAAATTTCACTCTCTTTTTGATTGGACATAATCAATAAAGCTGTATCTGCGAATCTAGATGGAGGCCTTTTTTTCTACATTATAAAATAACTTAATTCTCTTTTTATATAATAAATATTCTAAATAAATATATATATATATTCATACAAAATTAATAATTCATAATTTCAGCTGCCATTTTGTCAACTAAATTGGTAACTTTAAAACAAATTCATTAATAATAAATATATCTATATCATATTTAATACTACACTACCTATCCATTTCTATTATAAATTTTTGGGTAAAAATAAATTATATCTTATAATTAAAAGTAAGTAAGCAAAGTCAGTTTTAAGTTGGCTACAAAATTAAATTATAATCATAAATTCTACATTCTTCAACATTCTGATATGTAAATAATGAGATATGGAATTTCTATATTATTAGAATGAAGAATTTTCTAAATTATTAAAAACATCACAATTTTTGAAATCCAAACAATTACTCAATATTATCTCCTAAAAAATCTTTATTAAATAAATTAATTTATGATATCTTAATAATTTGCCTTTATTATCTAATCATGATTTTACTCAATCAAAACAATAAAATCAATTATTTATTATAAACACTCCAAAAAAGAATAGTTCTCTTATGTAATTATTAAAAACAAAATTATTGTGAAATTTGTATAACATTCTATGTACGTAGAAATCATTTATAACATAAATTTTTAATTGAATTTAAAGCTAATAATTTTAATAATTATTTATAAAATTGATTAGAAAGAAAAATGGTACATATTTGATTTATATTTAGGATGGTGAAGATGAAATGCAGAAATAGGCAAGATTAATGGCTGAGAAATATAAGGATGGACCCAAAAAGAAAGGAGCATTAGTGAAAAAAACTCAAGAAGTACTTCTTTAATATTTACATATTAGAGAACATAATTTGATTCCGCTACACATGAAATGTAAAAATAAGCATAACAGCATCCTCCTAAATGATGATTCAATTATTAATACAACATTATTTAATAATTTAATCTCTAATCTTAATGCTTCATTATAATCTAAGATTGTTCTAAGTGATCATAAAATAATCATTTAAAATTTTAAGAAAATCACTATCTAAATTTTGATTTCTTTGATGCTACCAATCAAGTTATTTCTAATTTAATACTATTTAAATAACCAAATTCTGTTTTTACAATCAATAACTCAACAAGTTTAATGTTATCCAACTTTTTACTCTATATCCTTCTCCATCCACATTTTTTTGTTATATATTGATTTCAAAAAGGATTAATTTCAAGGGTTTTCCTAAAAAGTTTAATTAATACTATAATTTAAAAAGTTGTTTTCTTAAAGATAATACTTTTAAATCAAAAAAATCATCATTTTAGATTTATGAAATGATATTTAATTTTGAATGATCTTATGTATTAATTTCATATTGATATTTATTGTTTTAATACCAAAAAGAATTCAGAATAGAATTTATTTCATTTAAAATACTAAATGTTAAGAAGTTAATAATTTTCAGTTATGTTTCAACATTTAAAAGTGTAAAAAATTAAATAATGTTTGCAAGGTTATTCTTTTTTTATCATTTACATCTTATATCATTAAAATCTAATATATTGTGAGATTAATAATTTCAATCAAATGTTAATAATAACAATAGACTTTATAAATTGTTTAGTATACAAAACTAACTTGAAATTTATGTTTAATACAATGATTATTATATATTTTAAAACAAACATAATCATCAATCATAATGAGCCATTCTAGAATAGAAATTTCCTTCTTATTTTTTGGTTGGGTGAAAACACAAACACAATACGCAAGTTACACATAATATCATTATGAAACATACGCTAATAGCCACTGCCCCAATATAGATACAAATTTCTTTTGCATATCCTGTTATTGCTCCATAACATTTATCCCTTGTGATATTATAGAAATATATACTTTGGAGTTCCTGCATTTATATCTGAGAAAATATAAATTGAATAAGGAAAGCACCATCCTGAACAAGAAAATTATTCTTCAACTGACTTTAAATATTCAGCTTCCTCGTCATAATCTGATTTATAATCAACATATTATTAACATTATTGTATCCTTATTGGCTACATAGTATAAAAATAGTACTAAGTCTGAATTTGAGTTTGAATAAAATTGAACTGCTTGAGATGTACTTGATGTCATACTTCCGGTGTAATAACATTGACAACCTGGACCATTTTCGTATATTGTTTTACAAAGTACTGCCTCTGCTTCAGAATAGACATTATTCAATGTAACAGATCCTGAAAAAAAGTCTGATTAGAGGCATTTTTCATCTTGAAAATGATATAAAGCAATTTAAACCTGAAAATATATCTATCCAATGAGCTGACTATCCTAGACTAAATCCAATAATTGCAAGACCGAGAAACGCAATTGTAAGTATGAAATTTCCAATATTAAAGCAAAATAACAGTGTTCCAATTCTTTTCCATCCTCCTATTATTCCACAAATTCCAAAAAATATTAATATACTGCTGAATACGTACAATCCAATTAAGATTCCGTCTGATGGTTTTTACTTAAGTTATAATTTACATATACACTAGTAAATTCATCTAAATAGTCTAAGTATTATCTTTGATCGACATTTATGACAATTGTTCCAATCAATGAAGATATACCAACAATTAGAATTACCCATGCTTAGAACTAAACAGAAAACTTTAAACAACTTAAAGGTAAGCACATTTTATTAAATAATTTAATGTAACATCAACTAAATCATTTCTTAATTTATATTTGCATTTTTTGCTAATTTAATAATTATTGAAAATATGTATAGATTTTGTAATATTTTCAATTCTAATAAACAATTACTTCAAAAAATGTACATCACAAATATCTGAAGAATTAATTCTATGTTTTAATACAACCTAAAAAGAATCCTGAAATATTTCAAAATATTTATTAATTTATTTTATAAAGCAAAAAGTTAAAACTCCTTTACATAAAACTAGTATTAATTGATTAAATATAAAACATAATAACAAATTACAATTATTTCATATTAATAATTATGTAAATATTGATGTAAAACCTTAAAAAATATGGAAAATTCTGTTATTTATATGATAATTTAAACATAAAATATTTTATTCACAATTTTATTAATTATAAATTAAATATTAATTATAAACAAAAAAATTAACTACAATTATTTTTATAATAATCTGTGGATATTCTGTTTGTTCATAATTTAATATTCTTAATAATCTTATTTCCCTTAATTAAATGGTGACATTAAAAAATTATATATGCTTAACCAAATCCTAATTTATTTTTCCTTCTGTGAACAAATTCAAAAGGCAGTGACTTCTTTAATTTTATTCAAATACTGAGTTCTCAAAGTAAATAAATTTGTGTATTATAAGTTTTTTGTTTAATTTGATATAAGGACTAAAAGTATGAAATCATATATCTGTTTTTTAATAGTATATTAATTATTATTTATCCATACCATATATTTATAAATGATAGTATTTGTATATTTGTTTATCTTTGTATAAAATCTAATACTAAAATAACAATAAAATTGTAAATGAAATAATTATATTTAGAAATCAAAACTTTAAAAATATCATAAAATTAAAATATGAAAATAAGAAACAGTAGAAAATAATTTATTAATTATATTATATTTAATTTA